TTCAGGTGGTATCTAATAAGAGCTGTTGTGCTAGGTGGTGTGATGGATGGCTAAAATCCCAACTCCTCAGGAGGCTGAGGCAGGAGGATGACAAGTTGGAAGCCCTGTCTTAAAACAAAATTTTAAAAAGCCTGAAGATGTAACTCAGTGGTAGAGCATTTGTCCTCATGTAGGAGACCCTGGGTTTAGTCCCCAGCACCTAAAACAAAACAAAACATCAACAACCCCCAAACCAAAAGCTATCACTTGGCAAAGCTCATAGGAGTCAACTTTTTATGTGACATTTTGATTGTGACAAAGATTGCCTATTATGTGTAGCAAATTGGAGTCCTGTGAGTTAGGAAACCATGGCTTTATAAGGAAACCATGGCAAGACTATCCCAGGATGCAGAACTGGGCTACACTTGAGCCAGCTGCTTTGCCAATGGGGCCAGCCCCCTGGTTTTTTTTACAGAGCATCCAGGCTGCAGTAAGATTCCTTTAGGGCTCACAGTTAGTACGAAGTGGCATACTTCCTCTTTCAGTGGTTCAGTCTTATATTTCTGGCTCAGGATCACTGTGTTGTGTCATTCTGCTCCTGTGTCTTGGAATGGGTCAAGATATTTGGGCATATGACAGGCTCTGCACTCAGCTCCACCATGTGGCTCTTCCCCGCGGCTGCCTATGTGGCCTCAGTCTGAGCCTTCCATCTGGGCTCTTTCATCCCCTATGGGCCTGGCCAAGGCCAGATTCTCCCTTGTGCTGTGGCAGTTACTCTTGAAACAGTGCCACCAGTGAGACCATCATAACCAGGAGGAAGGTTGCTGCCCTATCCCCCTGCTTCTTGTGGGCTCTTTGCTCTCCTGCCTGCCTCTTTGTCCATTTGCTCTTGTCATCTGGCTTTGGCCACCTGGGCCTCAAAGGTGATCCCAGAATCCTGTATGGCCCTGACCACACTGGATTTCTCAGACTGCTGAAGATGTCCCATGTGTTGAGCCTACGAGAAGGGCAAGGCATAGTAGAGGACTCACTGGAAAAACTAGATTAATTTCTCCACTCTCTCCTACACAGCTCAGGCATCCTTTAAGGCTCATGTGGCACATGTAGATGCCCTGAGAATGAACCCCAGTTTTACTAGTGGCATGGAGGGCTCTGCTGACAATGGAAGTGATGGGAAGCAGCCTTGAGTGAGGAGCAACAGGCTCACACAGTGTGAGTGGGACACCCTGAGGTTTTCCCTGTTGGGTGGTTCTGACTGTGGTGACTAGAAGCCAAGGGCTATACCTATATATAAGGCTCACTCTCAGAATTGGGCAGGTCACCCAGTGATCAGGGTGTTGGAGGACTTCACTGAGCACTAGAGAGAGCAATCAGAGCTCTATAGGGGGACTGGGTGGGAGACATACAGGGCCTGCTGGGACCTGCCAGGAGATTGCCGAGGGAGTTTATAGGGACCTAGATGAAGGAGTAGACTGTAGTAGGGGAAGGAAAGAGGGGGTGGGAGGGAGGTGGCCTGTTGACCAGAGCTAGGCAGAAGGACCTGTGGGCAGTGGGCCTGGCTTGAGTGGGGGGTGAGGGACTGGAGAGAAAGGCAGTTCCTGATGGTCCCTTCCCCAGGGGCTGGCTTTCCTCTGGTCCTTCCCTCCCAATGACCACGTTTTCATCAAGACTGAAGCCTTGGGCTCTGCACCCACACCTCCAAGCCAGGCTGCCTGGCAATCCATCAGTGACCTTCCTCTGGACCACGAAACCCTCCCTACCACTGCGGCCTGGAGCAGTAGTCTGCTATTCAGCTAGGATGTTAGGATTCTGCAGCTGAACTACAGAGCCAGAGCTGTTTCTATCAGTGTCTCTGGCAGAAGCCAGGCACACAACTCAGGGAAGGTAGAAGTGGGCCAAGGCTGAGAGTACAGGCCTCCTGTGACACCCTAGAACAGTGTGTTCCCATGGGCAGCTTTTAGAAGAGCCCATGGCTATTATAGCCCTTAGGGAGCCCCTGGACTCTGGACCATTGGGATTTTAGTAGGGATTGGCTGACAGAACTTCTAGTAGCCATAAGTTGGCAGATTCTCATGACTGGGGAAGACCAGCTGTCCCAGTGTGAGACCACTTATAACTTCTCAGAATGTGATGGGTGCCAATATTCCCTATCTATTGCACCTGGCCAGTGGGACTTCTGGGGCCCACACAAGGCCAGCATGATTCTCATCTCCCTGCACTGCCTTCTGGATGATTCTGTTGATCCATCTCATCAGCTGTGTCCAATCTGGTCTTTTTGAAGGTGGGAGCAGATCTGGGATGAACCCAAGGCCTTATGCATATTAGGCAAATGCTGTATCACTGTGCTGTATCCCCAATCTTTTTTAAAATTTTGAAACATGGTTTCAGTAAGACAGCTTCCAATCTGCTCTGAAATTAATTGCTATTTAATTCTCTCTGTCTCTGTCTCTGGTCTCTCTCTCTCTCTCTCTCTCTCTCTCTCTCTCTCACACACACACACACACACACACACACACACACACTCATTCCTGATATTTTATTTATGATTCCTATAGCTCTCATTTCTTTCTTTCTTTCTTTTTTTTTTTTTTTTTGTCTTTTTCTTTTTTATTGGTACCGGGGAATGAACTCACGACTGCCTGCTTGCAAGGCAGGCGCTTATGCTGCTGAGCTAAATCCCCAGCCCCCTCATTTCTTGAAGAACTTTATAAAAGTTCTTTTCTGTGCTTTGTAAATTTTTTATCACTTCATAGACATTTCCTAGCCACTTGAGTTTTTTTTTTGTTTGTTTGTTTGTTTTTTTTGGGTCCTCTGATACATGTACAGGTCTGCTAATCCTTTTTTTCTGGCACTTGTACCCAAATTACTACCTGTTTGAAGTACTCTCCTCCCAGCTCTTGCTTTATTTATTTATTTATTGGGGAGGGGAACCAGGAATCAAACTCAGGACCTCACACTTCCAGGAAGGTGTTGTGCTGCTGAGCTATATCTTAGTTCCTTGCTTTATTTTGACAGAGGGTTGGCCCAGTCACTCCCACCAGTATTGGAGCCGTAAGTTACCACTGGGATGATGGCTCCACTAGGTACTGCTGGGGTACCCAGCCCACTTCTGACGTTCCCACACAAAGCCTTTCTCAGTTGGAAATCCCTTTGACTCATCTATCCCACGAGAGGCAATGGATACCTGAGAGTGCATGTTTGTGGCCTAGCAACCTGTAGTTCTGCTGATGGTCTCATCACCCCGGTGTTGTCTCATTTGAACAGTCACTCGCTCTTTCCTAGGGCAAAAAATTGGTTCCCAGCAGCCATCATCCATACCTACAGGAACGTGGCACATAGTAGTTACCAGGGGAGAGGAAGATGTGGGTAGGTGAAGGAGGACTGGAGTGCTCTAAGCTCAGTCCTTGGAGGCGGGTGCTTGTGTATGTGTGTGTGATTCAGGGCCAGTTGGGCATAGGTCCTCTGGTGGTCTATTTGTGTGTGGGAGCTGGTGAGGACACAATAGCAGAAAAATATTCATGTGTGGTTGAGTGAATCCTTTGTGTCTTTCCCTGCAAACTAGATCAGTGAGTGGGGGAATATGATGGCTTCATCCATGGAAAGGTCCTATAAGGTTGACAAGTTCCCTGTGGGTGGTGTAGTGGAAATACCTTTGTTCTGTGAGTTCTGAGATTAGGTCTACGAAGGTTTCATTTCAGGGACCACTGATGTCAGCAGAGAGCTCTCACTGTTCCCAGAGCTATGGCAGCTGTCAGAGGCTCTCAGCCTGGAACAGTGAGCTGGAACCTTCCTCAACCTATGCTACTGCCTGTATACCCATGAACAGACATTAGTGGCCACTGCCCAGGAAGATAGTCTGTGTAGTTGCTTGTCCATGATCCTGTTGAGATGTGGAATCAGAATGGCCTGGGCCTGGACATCTCACCCTGGCCTTCTTCCTCAGCAAGATACATAGATGACATGAAATATAGACTCACTTTATAGATGTGCTGCCTTCTAGAAGAAACCCAAGCTCTAGTGGGTACCACATGCTTAACATCTGGGAACAGGGCCACTACTCAGATACTCCCCAATCCCTAGGGTACCCCAAGACAGGCCACAGCCCACCCTGTCCTCTAGAGAATCTTGAGGGGTCATTTATGTGCATACAGATAGCATACATACATAAGTACATACAGATACTTTCTTTCATACAAGTACACATGTGTACACATACCAACATTCGGGCACTTAGCTCTGCAGACTCTTATCTGTGCACATATACTGAACAGCTACATGCCACACATTCCTGCTCATTAGACTTTTCTCAGGAATCTGTTCAACCCACTTCAGTATTGGAGGAGCTTCTTGGTTATCCCATGTTCTTACGTAGACAGTGGCTCTGCCCTGGATATGCATCATGCACATTGCAGGGACCTTCAAGTCACATTTTCAGGGTTGGTGATATTGAGTTCTAATCTCAGTTTTTGACCTAGTTGTGGAATAATGCCTGCTGGGCCCCAGAGGCAGGTATGTGTGCTTACCTACACTTACCCAGTACTCAAGTTTAAGGGCACATCCCTAGCACATATCCCTGCCTGCTGATGTGAGTGTACAAAACCTTCCAGGTGAGTGGAGCATAATGCCATGCATTTGGGTACCAGAACCAAGATGAAGACTTACGGGGAGGACTTGGTACTGCTGAAGAGGAGAGCTTGTCGTCTGATGGCTCCAGCTACATATGTCATTCCTGTTCTTGCTGCTGGTTCTATCACCTCTAGCATCCACTCACAATTCCCCCTGCCAGTGAACATCATAGGTCCATGGTCAGTGAGTGTTGTGGGTGGCAGAGGTACAGACTACCCAGTACTGATGAATGCCTGGTGAAGGGAGAGGTTTGTACAGTGCTGACAACATGTGATTCTTGCCCATTCAGCCCTGTTCACTGGTGGTTGTGTTCTAGGCTGTCACAGGTTCAGTGAGGCCCTTCTGCCATCTGCTGACTGATGTTTATTCAACTCATTCTTTTCCTTTTCCCTCAGATTTCATGTGAGCAAAGCTACCCCTTGAAACTAATGTGCATCATCTTCTTTAAGTTTGATCCTCGACCTGCTTCCAAAAATGCATACAGGTAACCCCCTTGTCCTGCATCCGCCATGCTTCACTGGGTCTGGGGTATGGGCTTGTTCTCACTCCACTTGGACACCATGTGCAAGAGAGGTGAAGGTAGGTCTGGGGCCTTGGATGGCCAAGTCTCAGTGGCAGGATCTCACCAGGTCGTCTAAGCTGGGTTTAAACTTGCTGTCTTCCTGCTACAGCCTCCAAGAGTGCTGAGATTATAGGTGTGTACCACCACACCTGGCTAAGTTTTTATCTCTTAAAAATGTTTACCAGAAATAATTCAGACTGTTTCAGCTAAGCTGTCACACTAAGTCACTGCAGCGTTGTTTGTAGACCCTGTGGTACCTAATGTCACAGCTAAATGTACTCATTTCACACTCATTTCATAAAACAGCAACTGAGGTATATCCAGTGTTTTTTCTCCTTCCAACAGAGGGATAGACCTCAGAGGTGGGCCAGGCTCCAGGAGTTGATCCTGAACAGCCTGTAGTTGAGTGAGCAAAGCAAGTTGAATCAAGCCTCCGGACAGAAGCCTACAGGGCAAGTGTGTAGTAAAGAACTGTTAACTATAACAGGGCACTGGAGTTGTGAGGGTCTGGCTGGAGAGAAGTAAACAGAACTCTTAAGAATACAGGAAGAGCAGATAGAGGGAGCAGCCATTCCCCCCATGGCTGAGATGGGATACCTAGTACAGTGCCTTGTCTTACTTTCAGGCTGAAATCCAGACTTTGCCAGGGAAGGTATGGTTGTGATCTACTAGAAACCAAGAAGTCCCTGTGTTACCATATTAGTAGAGTTTTTTGGGAATCTATCTTCTGGGTACATGTTACTGTTACTGGGTGGAGGTATCTGTTACTGGGTGGAGGCTAGATAAGGGTGTTGGCCACTGAATGCTGCTTACTACTGGCACTATAGGAACCATGACTTGAGGAGGCCACATACATTGCAGAAGCTTCCTTGTTATAGTTTGTGTCTGGGTGGCCCCATCAAGCCTCATGCAGTTATGGAGGTGGCTGAATCTAGCATTAGTGATTAGTTTGTAGGCTAGCGTTGGGATTGGCAGTGTAAGTGATATGCTAGCCCACAGGCAAAGCTGGCATACACTATAAAGGAAGGAAGGAGGCATGCTCTTTACTCTTTTGCCCTTTTCACTCTTGTTGCTTGTGGCTGCCATGAATAGCTGCCCCTTAGCCATGCCATCCTGCCTTATAGCCGGCTGAGTGTGGACTAAAACCTCCAAAAACTGTAAGATAAATGAACCTTTCCTTGCTTCACTTTGGATGTCAGGTATTTTGTCTCAACAGTGAGAAAAAGTAACCAAGACATTCCTAAAAAAAGCACCCAGAGGCAGGGGGAAAAGCTGCCCTTCATCCTCTAGTGTCTCTCCAGCATCCTCCAAGCAAGGAGACACAGTCCAATAGTCCTTAAATCTGTCATAAGCACTATTTGTTATTCCCATATACAGCCACAGTCTCACTTGATATTCTGTTCCTTGATGACCTTCTTTATGTAATGTAAAAATGGTAAGAAGGGTGGTGGTGATATACATGCCATGTGCAAATAGGCAGTAAAGAATTGTGGAAGCTGACTACAATGGCATGTGCCTGTAATCGTATATACTTGGAAGGGTGAGACAGGAAAATCATGAGCTCAAGGCCAGCTTAGGCAATTTAACAAGAAAAAAAAAGTAGGTGAGGGGAGGAGGAAGGAGATACTTCTTGGGCCTGGGCACAAGTATTTAATGCCCACATGCATGGGACAGGCTTTGCCCAGCTGGTCACCATTAGGGGAGGCTTTGTGTCCAGCCTGTGCTGACTAGCAGGATCAGACCCCAGGCTTCCTCCTTCACCACCTGGGCCTACTGTACCTCAAGTCAGGATGCTAGGGATTGCCCTTCATTTACTTTTACTGTTTCCCCTCTGTTACTTCCTTGGCAAAAATAACATAATTAAAAAACAGGGCGAAAAAACCTGAGTTGAAAATATTGATTAGCAAGCCAGGCTTTGTTTCCAGTGCTTTCATTGTGACTATCACTGCTGCCTCTTGGGAAGGTGTGGCAATAGTCCTTTTGAGTTTGTTCCTATGAAGTCACACCAGCAAGAGGATAGGCTCTTAATGGGAATTATCCATATTCATGGCATGTGTACCTTTCATATTCTTGTGTGGAATCCTCACTTGTCAAAATGTAACTGTGTTTGGAGATAAACTTTTACAAGGTGATTAAGGAGAGAGAGAGGAGATTGAGCATGATCAATATATCTAATGAATGTAATTATTATATATAACAAATATGTATATCAGTAAAATTAATTTAAAAATGGGGATGCATTCTGGAAAAAAATAGTGATGAAGGTAAAATGAAGTCATAATTGACAGGTCTGATTCTATATGATGGGTGCCCTTATGGGAAGAGACTAGGACTCAGACATTCTATGGGATGCCATTGTGAATACAAAGATAGTATACTCATCTATGTTCTGAGAGGAGACCCTCGGAGAAAACCAACTGTTGACACCTTGATCTTGGACATTAGCCTCTGGAACTGCAAGACAATAAATTGCTATTGTTGAAGCCACCAATTTGTGGTGCTGTTATGTGGTACCTCTGGGAAACTAAATATTGATGGGGTTAACAGCTTAATGTGGTCTCCTCCTGTAGTCTGCCCCAGGGAATTTTTTCTTAAAGTCAGATCCTCACCTCTCCAGGAGGAAGCTTAACCCCCAGCTTTCAGGATGTTGGTCCCTAGTGCTGGCCACTCAGGTGGGGAGGAAGAGGCTGAGCACAGACCTGTTTTACTTCTTCCCTTGGAATATGTGCATCACTTCTGGGCCTGTCCTTGTGGAGGTTGATGGCCTCAACATTTCCCACGCACCTTTGCAAAGCTTAGGCCAGATACTAAATAAACTGCTCCTAGGTGACTGAGTGAATATGCATTAGGCTTTCATGACTTTGACAGAGGAGTACAAAGGGCTTCCGGTATCTCCTACCCTTCCAGTTCTGGAGATATCCAGCAGCAATGGCAGGCCATAGGCTGGTAGCATAGGTCTTTCTGTGAAATTTCTAACTGGAGCCTTAATTAGAGCCTTGGGCTCCATGCAGAGGGCCAGTTTAGCCTACTGACTGACCTGTGGATTAGCAGACAAGTGGGTGTTGGTCTGAGTTTGGGCCATAATACCAAATGGCACCATACCAAATGGCATAATCTCAAATGTTGAAATCTCAAAAGATCAAAATAAAAATCCCTAACATCTAAAATCACCAAAATCATGATCCTGAAAATATGTTGCTGGGGAAAATAATTTAAGACAATTCTTTTTTTTTTTTGTCTTTTTTTTCGTTTTTGTTGGTACCAGGGATCAAACTCACAACCGCACACTTGCAAGGCAGGCACTTATGCCACTAAGCTAAATCCTCAGCCCCTTAAGACAATTCTTGATCCATGTCATGGCACATGGCTATAACCTCAGCACTTGGGACAAGTCAGGAGTATCCAGAGTTGAGGCCAATTTGAGCTACATAGAGAAACTATCTCTCAAAATGAATAAATAAATAAAAACAAAATAATCATTTGAACTGGGGATGTAGCTTAGGCAAGAGGCCCTGTGTTCAGTCCTCATTATCAAACAAACCAAAAAGGAATAGGTCAAAAGAAATATGTGTAAATACAATCCCTATGGTTGGTAACTGTAGGTACTCAGCTTCATAATTGTAGTCATTGGAAAGACGACAGACAATCTAAGGTTGATTTGTAGCTATGATAGGTTGCAGCAGCAGATATAGTTACACACACAGCCAAGATTTGGAGAAATTTTGTTTTTCACAAATACAGATGTATTGAGTTAAAAGGACATCGTTTCATTTACTGAGGAAGTTTCAGCATTTCTGCCTACAAGCTCAATAGCAATACAGACAAATGATGCAATTTTAAATTGATATTTTTTTAAATTTTATTTAAGGAGAAAAAAAAAGAAAAAGGTTACAAGTTATATAGAATTTCGGAAAAAGTAAACAGTAGGAAATCATTAGTTAATTACATATTGTCATCTTAGAAATAGTTGTTGAAGTTACAAAATTAAAGCATATCGAGGGGACTTTCAGTGAGACTGCAAACAGTTTTGTTCAATGATCCAACAAAACTCAGTAATATGGTTATCTGTCTTATACACTTAAATATATATGCAGTTATATCTTTTAGAGAACTTTCTTTTCCTTTCTTTTGTACAATGACAATTACACATTAAATTGATATTTTTGTTGTTGCTTTATTTCATGGTCAAACTCATCATAATTCTGTCCTTTTGTATTAGATTACAGTTTTCACAGTATTGGTTTTCAGAGATTTCAACATTTGAGACTAATCTTTTAGGATTGTGATTTTAGGATTTAGAATTTGGAACTAGGTGTGGTGGTACATACCTATAATCTGAGCACTAGCAAGGTATAGACAGGATCACTGCAAATTGGAGGCCATGCTGGGCTACATAGTGAGTTTAAGTTGGCCAGAACTACCTGGAAAGACCTTATCTCAAATTAAAAATAAAAAGAGAGAAAGAATTTGGGGATTTTTAGATTTTAATTATTTGTTTATGGCTTTTTAGAGGCAGGCTATTGCTATGTAGTTCAGGCTAGATACAAACTTACATGTAGCCCAAGGTGGCCTTAAACTCATTGTGATCCTTCTGCCTCAGCCTCCGGGGACTACAGGTGTGCATTACCATGCCCTGTGAGATTTGTAGATTTTAGGTGCTTATTTGGTTTGGTTTGGTAGTAGGAATTGAACTCAAGGAGCTACATCCCCAGTCTGCTGTGTGTGTAACTAGACTTTTAATAACAAATTAACTTTTTCTTTTTTGGTACTGGGGATCAAACTCATGACCTTGCCTTTTTGCTAGGCAAGCTCTTTGAACCGCTGAGCTAAATCCCCAGCCCCAGTTCTTTAATTAATTAATTAGGGGCCAGAGATTTAACTCTGGTGCAGTGCCTGTCTGGCAAGCATGAGGTCCTAAGTTGGATTCCTGACCTCCCCACCACTGCTAGTCAGTTAATTTGAGGCAAATTCTTACCAATTTGCCCAGGTTGAGCTTGAATTTATGATCCTCCTACCTCAGCTTCCTGAGTAGCTGGAATTACAGGTGTGTGCTACCACGTGCAGTATACTTTAGGGGTTTTGGTCTTAAAGGATTTTAGTATGAGGGATTATGTTTTTTTGGAATAATGGTCAGCATTCAGGGGTTTAAACTGCTATGTTTGCAGGACTTTGATGACTGTCATAGAAAACCCAGATACCACCAGCAGGGTAACATGGTTACATTGGCATGTAATCCTCATCTTTTTAAAAAATATTTTTTACAATCCTTTGTGGAGGCCCTTGCTGGCTACAACCTGGAGTGGCTGCTGGACAAGCTGTTACCTCGGGGGTTATCCCTGAGGACCTGATTGCTGGGTTGCAGCACAAAGCACTTGCTGCCAGGTCACCCCTACCCCACAATGATAGACTTAACCTTCCATTGGTACACATGCCCCCAGATAGTGCATAGATTGTCCCGACATACATTGCAAATGCTGTCCCCAGCAATGCAAGGTATGCGTGGAGCTTACAGATCATCGTCAGTGGTTGCAGTTAGCAGAACAGAACAAAACCAGTGGATGACTTGGCATGCTCAAAGCCCTGCACTGTGATATCACAGCCCCAGCTCCCTGCACACTGGGTGCAGATGGAGCTTCCTCTGCGCTGCAGCCCCCACCAGTATTGACTGAGGGCATCACTTTCTCATCTGTTTAGAACTCAGTATAAGTGCATTATACCTGCTCATCTCTGAATTCTGCATTTTAATGAAATCTCTGCAAAACCATCACTAATTCAAGTAAGCAGGGACTCCTATGTTAAAAATAACCTGGCAATTACTGTTCTCAAATTATTAGGTAACCATTCCTTGTTTAAAAATAGGTCGTTGAACATTTTAGCACAAAATCTCTGCTTAGTCAGCATTTCTTCTCATTTTCCCTTAAAATTTTTTTTCTTTGTTAGAGCCTTATGTAAGAATTGGCAACCAAAAATAAAATAAAATAATAGTTGGCAACCGAAGCCAACAGCCCCAACCTGACTTTGAGCTGCAGAGCTCATCACCTTTTCCCTGGGAGCCCTGACGGGGACCTCCCAGCTCCCTTTCCTCACTCACCTTCAACGGCCAGAGAGGTGAGAGCAGAGAAGGAAGATTTGGTATTAAAAGAGAAAGTACCAGAAAAAAACACATGAAAATTGACCTCCCCCCTGGGGATAATAGGGGTTCTGGGCCTGGTCCCTGGTCCCTTTCACAACTCTATAGTCTCCTCCCATTTAGAGACCATGTTACCTTTCTCCTCCTGACCATTGTCTGGGCCACAGCCAGTATGGGCCCAGGGGCATATGTGCTTATTATCAGCATGGTGCCTGCTAGGATGGCCAGGGAAGGCAGCCCGGCTGCTGGCCCTGCTACAGTGGTATGGTGGTGGTGGGGACACCTCCATTCAGAAAGGACAGCAGATACGATTTGAGACACAGGCTGAATTTGGGCTGGAACTCATCAGTTGGAGATACCAAAGATTATTCTGTGAATCGCTGGGCTTTGTAGCAGGCATGGCAGCCACCCGTATGCCACTGGGGGCAGATAGAGTGCAACCCTGAAGGCAGCTGAATGATGCATGAGACAGAGTGACTGGTGCTATAGTTAGGGGCAGGGTGGGCCAAATGGGGAATCCTGAAGGCTTCCATCAAAGACTCAGAGGGCTTAAAGTGATGTATAATCCCTGGGTAGTAACCCCCTCCATCCTCACCCCTATACACATAAAACACTGTAAATCACAGAATGAAACAGCCCTCAGAAGCCCCATGTGCTGCTGAAATTTGGTGTCTATCCACAATTCTTTTGGCAAGGGGTTCACGTTTTCAGGAAGCTTGCAGGCTTGCTGTGTCTGTTCTCAGGGAACAGGACAGATGGTCAGGAGTGGTCTTATACTTCCAGCCTGGTTCCTTCTGTGTGGTTGGTGGCAACACTGAGGATCTTCACCTGCCCAGCCATCCTTCCACAGGCCCTATTGTTGGCAGGGGCTATATGAGCAAGGGCTAAGGCTGTCCCATTGGGCCTGGCGGATCTGTCTCCTGGCAGTGAGCCATGGAAACCTATATCTTTGAATGCCACCTATCTATTTCCTGGACAGGGGCTCTGAGCAGTCTCTCTGGGAGCTGTCTGGGATCACTGAAGACCTTTGCCACATAAAGGCCTTGTGAGGACGGGTGGGTTCCTGTCCTCTTTGGAACTTGTGTATGTAAGCTACTACTGGAAATCTGATTTTTTAACAGAGAAAGCTGAGAGTGTAGAATGCAGGCTAAGTTCAATTTGTCGTACCCAGAGAAATAAAGAGTGCGTGAGCTGGACATGGTAACATGTCTATAATCCAGCACTTGAGGAGGCTGAGGTAGGAAGATCACAAGTTCAAGCTCAGCCTGGGCAATACAGTAATTTAGTGAGACCCTATCTCAAAGAAAGAAAGTTAAAAAGGGGGCCAGGGATTTGGCTCAGGTTATGAGTTCAATCTCTGGTACAAGTTAAAAAGGGGGAGGTCAGGGACATAGCTCAGTGTGAAGGCCTTAGGCTCAATCCCGAGTGGAGGGACATGGCTTTCTGTTGCTGTGTAAGATGGCCAATCATGCTTTCTTTTCTCAGGCTTATTTTGGCAGCCAACAGGGATGAATTCTACCACAGACCATCCAAGCTAGCTGACTTCTGGGGCAATGACAATGAGATTCTTAGTGGTAAGTCTTCTTTTACACCTGTTTGACAGGTATTCAGTGTCGCCCCACCAGAGCCCTTGGAACAGCATGAATGTACAAATCCCATAATGAGCCTCACAAAAGCCCTGCTTCCAGTGTAAATGCTGAGTATATGAATGGCGAGGGGTCTGGGGCAGTGCTAGATTAAGCCATTAAGCATCCTTGAGCTGTCCATTCAGGACTGACCATATGGCTTCACATGCTTTGGTCAGTCTGCACATGAAGACTGTGTCCCTTGGGCACTTTCCAAGGTACCTGTTTATGTGTTCATGTACCTCTGTGTGTGTGTTTTGTGTCTGCATCCACAGTTCTGCTGTGTATGCCTTGCTCCAGGGTTAGTGGGCTGAGTTTGGGAGCAAAACCTTAGATGGGATACATTTTGTATTCTTAGAAATATTACCGTTGAGCTTCATCCAGTTAGGGTTTAAGAGATCTTTTGGGTGTTTTGCTTGAAATTTGACAGGCAAGTTCAGAGCCATGCCGGTATAGGACATTTTATTCTCAAATTGTAAGAACTGACTTCCCTCAGTAATTAACCCAGCACACTGGGAATTACGTGTTTTTTCTTTCTTTGGTGTCTTTTTTTTTTTAGTTTTTTTGAGACAGGTTTTCACTATGCAGTTCAGGTTGGCCTTGAACTCACTATGTAGCCCAGGCTGGTCTCAGACTTGCAGTGATCCTTCTGTCTCAGCCTCCCAAGTGCTGGGATTACAGATGTGTGCCATCATGTCCAGCTATTGTGTGCTTTTTCTAATGTGGCTTCTGCAAACAAGCACTATTCCCTGCCCTGTGTAAATACTGTCCCCCAAATCCTTCGGGGTGTTCTTTCCTGGCCTTACTATGTGATTCCTCTGTGTAGCTCTCTTCTTTGGTCTCATGAACTCTGGCTGCCTCAATCTTCCTGAACTTTCCACCCTATCCTGGCTTCTGCCTGGATCCCTTTACCTCTCTCTCACTTGCTGGATCCAGGGGACTCTTATCTAATAAAGGGTTCACTTAATTTGTTTTTCATTTCTCAAATCTTTTATCTTATGACCCATTTTTTTATATGTTTCTTTTGGTTTTTGCTTATTTTATACAGAAGAGAAAAATCTTTAACTCTGTTACTTGACCAATTAAGGAATTGTTACTCACTTTTAAATTATTGATTTGTAGGATTTCTTTATGCATTCTGGATGACTCTTGTTGAATAAATACACATCTATTCATTTCCTTGATGCTGTCCTTTGGTGAGCAGAATATGTCAACAAAATGCAGTTTATCTATTCCACTGTAGTTTGTTATGTTTTATCTAAGAAGTCTGTACTTCCATAAGGTCAGTGATATTTTTCTCTATTTGCTTCCAGAAGCCTTCTGATTTTGAGGTCTGTAGTTTTGTCTGTGATTTATCTCAAAATTATTTTTATAGATGGTATGAGGTAATGGTTCAGGTTCATTCCCTACCCCCATCCCTCTAGTTGCTTCAACATCATTTATTAGATAGATATTTTTTTGCTTGTTGTATAATTATGGCAACTTGGTTGTAAATCAGTTGATCATATGTGTGTGGGTCTCTTCCAGAATCTATTGTGTCCCACTGATGCATGTGTCTGTCTTGATGTCAACACTGCAGTATCTTATTTACTGTCCTTTTGAGTCTAGTGGACTAATGAATGTCTGTAGTCCCAGTTATCCAGCAAGCTGAAGTGGGAAATCATTTGAGCCTAAGAAGTTAAGCCCAACTCATGCAACATAGACACACCCAGGCTCAAAAAAGAAATAAGGATGTGAGGGAGATCTGGCTGCGACACCTGTCACCCCATTGATCACCAGGGTTGACTCGGCTGATCTGGCAGGCTAGGTGGGTGTCCCCTTTCTTTCAATGATCCACATGAGTCCCTTCGCACTCGGTCAAAGAGGACGACCACCTCAATAGAGCAGGACCATTCCTCGGTCAAGGGGATATGAGTCGCTGCACTCCCCTGCTAGAACCTCCAAACAAGCTCTCAAGAAAGAAACAAACATTAAATAACCGTCTTTTTAGCAGGCCTTGAATCAAGTATAGTATGTTCTCCTTGTTCTTTTGCAGAACTATTGTTTGCTTATCCCATTTCCTCCATAGATTTTTTGTTTTTATTTTAAAATTTAATTTAATTTTGGGGGGACAAATTCTCACTGTGTCATTCAGGCTGGTTTTGAATTCACTATGTAGCCCAGGTTGGCCTCACATTCAGGACAGTTCTCCTGCCTCAGCCTCCACAGTATTGGTAATACAGGTATGTATCACCATGCCTGGCTAAAGCCTAACATTTTAAAATCGTTCTTCTTTGCTTTTAGCTTTAGAGTATCAGTTAAAAATTCCGTTTTTCAGAGTTACTTAGGTGATATCTGGGTATGGTGTTGTATATCTGTAATTCCAGCACTCAGGAGGCTGAGGCAGGAAGATTACTGTGAGTCTGAGGCTAGTGTAATACATTAGTATTAGTAGGGCATCCTGGAATGCATAGTGGGACCTTGTCTCAAACAAAACAAAACAACAAAGTTATTTATGTGAGTTCTTTCTCCTCCAGTGAGATAGTATAGATTACAATTAATGTTCCATGTTGCGTTTCCCTTATATCGTATTCTTTGTTTGTTTGTTTTGGTACTGGGAATCAAACTCAGGACTTTGCACTTGCCAGGCAGGTACTGTGCCTCTGAGCTATATCCCTGGCCCCTATCCTGTTTGATCTAGCTTAGATGTTTTCTTATATTTTCTGCTTCCTTGAGATTTGGGGTATATTTTTTTTTAATTTCCATGGTCCTCAGAGTCAAACAACACAATAAAGAGTACCCAGAAAAGTGTCTTCCCCTCTTATTACTGCTGCCCCATTCCCATTCTCCATTTTGTTCCACATTTTCTTATTCATCCTATGGAGGTGCCTTAGTTATTTTATTCATCACTGGAACCAAATACCAGACACCCACAACTTAAAAAAGGAGAGGTTTCATACTTAGCTGGCTCCAAGGTAGGATGGCATTGCAGAGAGGCACAGTGGTAGAAAGCTGTTCCTTATGGCAGCCAGGAAGCAGAGAGCAAAGGGAGAAGGTAGGGAGGGCGATAATGTATAGTCGTCCAGTCTGTGCTTTCAGTGAACTGTGGCTTCTCACCAGACCCCACCTAACTGCTCTGCCCCATAATCCACCTTCCAGACACATGAGTCTTTGAGGCCATTGCAGGTCAAATCATAACATTACGCCCTTCATCCCTGAAAGACTCATGTGTGTCACTTTATACAAAATTCATTCAGCTCATGTCTAAGAGTCACCACAGTCTCGGCAGCTCCAGCCCTGCTGTTGAGTCCAAGTCCAAAAAGTCTCCTCTGAGACTCAAAGCAAACTCTTAGCTGTGAGCCTCCATAAAAATTAGAAAGTCAAACATTGCTGATACAAAGTGGTTCAGGGTAAACATTACCATTACAAAAAGGAGGAATAGGAATATAGGAACCAATGGGACCAAAGCAAGATAAAACCTGACAGGGAAAACATTAAGTCTTGTAGTTCCATGTCTAGCACCCAGGACAAACTGTAGTGAGATATTAATTCCAAAGGCTTGGGCAGTCATGGCCCTAGGGCATTGCCAGTGCTTGCAGCTCACATGGCCTCTCTCTTGAGCTGGCTTTGTGTTGTGGCTTTCCTCAGCTGTTCCAAATTCCTGGCTTCTCCACTTTCTCTACCCATCCTGGGATCTCTGATGCAGTTTTGGCTTCATTCTCATAGCTTCATTCAGTGCCTTTTCAGGGGCACATTGCTGGTCTTCCAGGCCTTCTGAACTCTGACCCTCTGGAGTAACAAGTGGCTTGTTTTGTTTTCTTTTGTGTTTTCATTGCTGGGGATCCAACCCATAATCTCTTACATGTTAGGCAGTACTCTGCTACTGAATTACACCCTGCATCACCTTTAGGGCATGTCTTACCTAGTGGTAAGTTTTGGTGACATGTGTAGTACTAACCATGAGGCCTGTGTCTGTTCCTGGTAGATGAAGCCCCAGGTAGGGAAGCTGTCTTAGTGCCCTGAACTCTGACCCTAACTAATGTGTAAGATGTATTCTGCAGAAGTCATATGCAGACCACCCAGTTTCAGGTTCACCCATTGATATCAGGGTGGGCATATTTGGTGCCTACAATGTCTTGGGGGACACGGTTATTACCTATACTTTTTGTGTAACTTAGGAGCTGCTTTACTTTGCAGAGTTGGAGCTCCAACCAATGGCCGGGGCAGCTGGGCTGAGCTACATATTCTCATGGAGCCACTGACATTGTTTTTCCTAGGGGACAGGCACTGGGTGGGAACCAGAGCAGGGTCAGAACCCATCACAATGACTGGTAACTCTGTCACTTGCCACAGGGCTCGACATGGAAGAAGGCAGGGAAGGAGGCACGTGGCTGGGCATCAGCACAAGAGGGAAGTTAGGGGCACTCACCAACTATCTGCAGCCACAGCTGGACCGAGATACCCGTGGCAGAGGTAAAGGGAAGCAGGGGGAGCAGGACTGGGCCTAGTAAGGCAGGTAGGGTGGGGCAGCCAGGATAGGCAGGAAGCAGGAGGCATTTGAGGGAGCTGCTGCTAGGCTCCTTACCTGCCTCAGGAACATGAAGAAGAGACAGGAGAAGGGGAGGGGACCTATGGCATTACCATAGCAGTCGCTGTTGGTCTGGTCTCTTGACAGATGTGGTTATCTCAGGGAGAGCCCTCTAAGTGTGTCACTCCACAAAATGCCACTGCTCACTATTGTATCTTTGTCCCCCATCTGTCAGCAGTTTGCATACTCCCCACTGTCCTTCTTGCATAGTTGTATGGATACAGGTCATTCATGCTGAAGTTTTCTCTTTCTTTATGCTGATTTCCCTAAAGGGACATGTGGGGGAAATGTTTTATCTTTTAGGTAGGATTCTCTATATGTTGCCCAGGCTATTCTCAAACTCATGATCTTCCTGTCTCATCCTCTCAGCTAGCTAGGATGACAGGCATTTGTGCCTGGTTAGAAGATTTACTGCCCCCCCCCCCAAAAAAAAAACTCATAGTTCTCAGTGCCACCCTTTGTGGCAGTCTTCTCAGTAAAGTGTGGCTGACTCCAGTTGCTGTAGCTCTTTTGGGATCCCACTATTTTTGTTCTCCCAAGGCAGCTCCACTGTGGTATCTCCAGAAAAGGGGCTCATCTGCTGCCAGTCATGTGTCCCTGTCCCCTGTACACAGGTGAACTTGTAACCAACTTTCTGACCACTGACATGGACAGCTTGTCCTACCTGAAGAAGGTCTCCCAGGAGGGCCACCTGTACAATGGCTTTAACCTCATAGCAGCCGACCTGAGGTGAGTTTGCCAGGAGACAGCAGCCCTACCCAGCACTGCCCTGGGGGCTAGGTCTTCTGGCATCGGGCTCAGGATTCCACCCCTCCAGTCAGCCTGGCAGCTTTTCCCAAGATGTCACATATAGTAGGTTTTGCAAACATCCCAAGGACCTAACCTGTCTCAGGCTCATCCATCTGGATAGAGGGGAGCTGAGTCAGGGCTTCTTGCTCTCTGCCTCAAGAAAGCTGAAGTAGGGTGCTGAAGAGCTGGGGTTGTGAAGGGCAGTCTGTGGCTCCTCTCCCATGGGAGGTCCTGCAGAACAGCCCACAGCCACCCTGGCCAGGTGCTATGATCCTAAGTGACTCTCATATTAGAGATATGGCCAAACAGGTACTGCAGAAATTTTCTGTTTTGCTTTTCGGTAAAGTGAGCATCCTCCCCTATCTTCTTTTGACTTCTCTTTACCCTTTTAATGTCCAGAAGTCAACGAATACTATTAACATAGATAGGCAGGTGTGTCCAACCTGAAGCCTGTGGGTTGGACATGCTTGAGTTATAGTAAAAAGTATTTAAAATAATTTTTTATTTGTATGTTATGTGTATTTTTTATATGTAGCCTGAAACAGTTCTTTTTCCCTTTTTTTTTTTTTTGGTACCGGGGGTCAAACTCACGACTGTGCACTTGCAAAGCAGGTGCTTATGCTGCTGAGCTAAATCCCTAGCCCCAACAGTTCTTTTTCACTCAGTGTGTCCCAGGCATGTTCAAGCTATGTGTAAGCCATGGGCTGCTGGTTGGAGGGGCTTCCTCCAAGACAGACAGATGGGGTGAGGGTCAATTAGCATCTATGTCCAGAGCCCCTTGGTGAGCTGCTTCCTTCCACAATAGCAGCTCTGTTGTGCCTCTAGCATCTACTGCATATAGGGATGCTGTGTCCCTACTCCTGCACTACATGGATGGCGACATATGATATAGAGACTGAGCAGGCTACAGTGGCCCACAGGAGGAGGGTTAAGGGTAGAGGCTGATATTGGCATTTGCTGTCTGGAGCGTTGTTCCACACTAACCTATAGCAGCTCCAAGTCCATGTGCCCCTGCCCCCCAGATTTGGAGACCATTTTGCCGTCACTTGTTCCATGTATGTGTGACCCAGCTCCAGGAGACCAGAACAGTGGCTGTGACACTGATGGGTACTCAGCAGCTGTGCCAAGGGGCTAAGAGACAAGGGAACTGTGCTCTGCATGAATGTGTGGGCACATACTGGATGGTAACTCCTGTAGTTGTGAAAAGTGCAGCCCTAGGCTTCTGGGAGCCTGAGCAGCCTTTTCTAGCTCCTGGGTCTGAAGGCTGCCACCCTGATCACAACCCAAGAAAGCAAACAGTGGCCAAAGAAGCAAATCCATGGTCAATGGCAGATAGTACCAGGGCTAGAGGGTAGCAGTGAGCAGCTCCTGCTGATGGGTGCTGATGAGGAATCCAAGCCACAGAATGGCCTTCCTTTGTATGGCCAGGGTGGCTCTGGTAATAATCAGCATGGGCACCTGATACTACTGTCATTACATCAAAAGTTCAAAAGCTTTCTGCTTGGAAACAAGAGCTCCGAACTCAATAACTAGACATCTTAAGAAAGTTGACAAGGGGTGTGATGTAAGAAGATTGTGAACAAGACTAGAGGCTCTGGAGGCTGGAGGGTGAGTCTTGCCTGGTGGCAGTGTGGAGCAGGAGGGATGGGTGGACTTACCAGTACCCACACCCATTCTTTTTTTTTATCCTTTTACCCTCTTTTCTACATTTGTCCATTTGGAAGATACAGGTCTCTTTGTCTGGTGTCTGACATGGAGAGTGTCTCACAGATCTCAAAGTCATGGTGCACACTTAAAACTGAGGCAGGAAGAAGTCAAGTTTAAGTCCCACTTGCGCAACTTAGCCAAGACCCGGTCTCAAAAAAACAAAATAAAAAGGACTGTAACTCAGTGATCCCTAGTACTAAACAACAGCCAACAAAAAGGAATTCCAAGTTTCAGCAGCAAGACTTACTGTGATGTTGTGAAACTGGGGCATCCTCAGCAGTGAAGTATTTTAATTGTTGTAGAATATGATAGTAGGAAATTTAATTGTCTAAGAATATGATAGTAGGAAACTGTGGTCTTTCAGAAGCCTGTGTCATCTGAGGCCTCCTGTCTAGCAGCCTCGGAAGCACTTGGAGATGAGCTGCAGAGGTGGAGGCTGCAACTCACCAGAAGACACTGGTGTTCATGGAGATGGGGCGCAGCCCTATAATTGTCAGTGTGATCGTGCTCTAGGGCATTCAGCTAGGCAGGAAGGTCCATAATATTCCTTCCCCCTGTTGGTCATCTGTAAGATGAGCCAGCAATGTTCTGTGATGCTGGACAGGAACCAGATCACCATGGCCTGCCTTTCCCAGTCCCTCAGCCTGGCTAAAGCAGACCATCGTTTTTGTGCTTGGCCACCAGCCAGGGCTCAGGGAATAGGCCCATGAGATTACAGGGCAGTGCTGCGAGCAGGATGCTCTGATGGTCCTATCTGACCTTCTCTTTCTTCCATTCACAGCACAGCAAAAGGAGATGTCATTTGTTACTATGGAAACCGGGGGGAACCTGAGCCCATCGTCCTGACTCCAGGTGAGCCTGGTCTGGCAGCCTGACAGGATGAAGCACTGCTGCTGTGTTGAGGATCCGGGGACCAGGCCTCTGTTACACTTTTCTCCCGGGACTATACATTTTGCTGATTTGTGCACTTTTATGATCTGTATGGGACTTTGGCTTGCACTGAGCCTAATATTCTTCCTGCTATCTTCTTGTGGGCTTTTCCTAGAAAGTGAGACACAGAGCCTGATGTGGACTCTACGATAGCCCTACAGTGCGCCCAGTATCCCCTAGGCTCACATGTCAGTCCTGTATCTGCTTGTCTGTCTCAGAGCCTTTGGGGCAGTTACCATCTGGGATCTTTTGCTGCACTTCTGCCCAGGTGCACTTACACACTACACTCCAGCCCCTCATAAATGCTCACTTCTGCACTGTCTCCTGCTTGGTCCATGTCCTTGGAGAATCTCCCTTTTTGTCTCCTCCACTCTGCCCTGGTCTCCTTGGGAGTCTCACATCTTTGTCCAGGCTGTACCTTCTGTGGCTCTACCCTGATATTCTTGCTTACTTCGGTATTGTGATTTCCTGGAAGCCTCTGATAGCTCCCCTCCCCCCAAGTAAGCAGAGAATATTACATTATACCCCCTCTTTGAGGGGAAGGAGGTCTGTGTCTTGTCCCAGGTCTGATGCTTTCTCCTGCAGCTTGCTGCCTGAGGCCAGTCATCACTGTTGGCATCTCAGGACTGTGGACCTCAGATACCAGCTCTTTTCCCTTCATTTAAGCCATTGGCCTTTATCAGGCATTCTAGGCCCTGAGGAATGTTAACATTCTCAGCACCACCCAGACACCTAATGTGTGACAAAACTCCCTTTTGTCGCACAGTTCCTGTGTCCCCAAGTCACAGGGACTTTCTTTACAATTAGCACCGGTCACCAAGTGAGGTAGGGGCACACAGGTCACCCCTATCTACAGCAGATCCGTGATGGGCCTGAAACTCAAGAGTATTCTAGGCTCAAGGGAGGTGAGGAACAGCACCCAGAACAGTTGTGAGGCCCAACTTGACTACATCTAGGAGGCTGGCAGACCTCAGGGCTGATCATGAGCTCTGTGATGCCTGCTGGCTCATACCAGTATATATTTGCATTCACACTGGTTCATACGAGTGCTGCCTTCCAACTTCTCATGGCTTCCCAGGAACATGTTGGGCACAGGTGGGTCAAGGAATTTCAGAACAGCAGTCCATTGGGATGGTGATCGGGCCAGGATACTTTGGGCCAGTGGCATCTTCAGAGGAGACTGCATCTATCCCATTCCTGGAGGGTGGCTTCTAGTGCATTTCACCTCCTCTCCTGAACAGGCCCACTCTTTCTGAATGTGGGGCTCTCTGCCAGCTGTGAGCAGCCACCGTCTGATGCTGGCCCTTCCCTTCCCACCTTTGCAGAGCCATGGGGGTCCAGAGAAAGTTCTGCTAAGTTCCCAAAGAGCCTGGTGATACCTAACAGTGAGGCAAAGGACTGGGGTCTGTGTGGTGCTAAGCTTGGGATCATGTTCTTACTGTTTTGGTTGTCTTAATGCCTCTGCATCAGTTCAGCATCTTAAGTGTCCCAGTGTGCAGTATAGTGGTTAGTTGTCCACATGTCATCAGAGCTGCCCTGAACCTTTGGTAACTGCCTGAGAAGAAATTGGAAAACGCTTGGAAAACGCGAGTCATAAAAGGAAGCAGAGATCCTCCTTCCTCATTCAGAACTGGCCCAGAGGGCTTTGGGGAAACAGCTGGAAGCTATCCTGAAGCCTTTTGTCCTCAGTGACTGAGACCCACTCCCACCTGGAGATGCTTATTTTCTGCTAAGTTATTTTTGGTAGAAATTTCTTTCATCTGTATCCTGTTCCATTCCAAAGCCTGCCTTTACCTGATCCAAGCTGCCAGAGACTGGGGAGGAGGTGGAATAAGAAGATATTGTGGTAATCAGTCTTGAGTTTCTTTGGAAGATAATGAAAAATTCTGGATTTAGATAGTGGTGATGATAGCACAATTTTGTGTATATATTAAAATCCATTAAACATGACATACTTTAAATGGGTTAACTATAGAAAATGTGAGTCATATCTCAATAAAGCTGTTTTTTAAAAAGAGGGGCTGGGAATTTGGTTCAGTAGTAAAGCACATACTTAGCAGGTACCAAGCCCTGCGTTCAATCCCCTGCATCAAAATGATGATGATGATGATGATGTAGGACATGGATCAAGTTGGGGGGCAGGCTCAGGGATAAAACATAATATAGATGTTCCCACATGGCTAGGGTTTCCTAACTACTAGCACAAGTCAAGGCTTATCGTGATAAGCCTACTAGCTATAGGTTGCTGAGTGTTCACCTTTGACCTTTGTCAGTATTCTTATGCTTTAGCCTAGAGAGAGATTCCACATTGGAGTGCTAGTTGTTTATTCTATGTCAATATGTTCATCCAGGCCTCAGGTAGCTATACCTCATGGTCTCTTGTATATCCCCACCAGTTGAGTTCTTCATCTCTCACTACACAGATGGGGCAGAAAGGGCACAGAGGCACTAGAAGAAAATAATAGCTTGGTCTCAGTCTGTTCCAATTTTGTTGTCCCTGGCTGTACCCAAGGCACCTTATCTTATGCCAGGTGGATTGGTGAGACAGTAGGAGTTTACCCTGAAATCACATAGCAGGGTCTCTGCATGGTCAGATTGACCCTTCCTCCCTACAGGAACCTATGGGCTGAGCAACGCACTGCTGGAGACACCCTGGAAGAAGCTATGTTTTGGCAAGCAGCTATTCCTGAAGGCTGTAAAGCAGAGCGAAGCGCTCCCCAAGGATGCCCTTGTCGCCCAGCTCCTGGATGTGCTGAACAATGAGGAGGCGTAAGTGGGCAAATCCCCCTGGGTGATCATTCCAGGCTCTGGGCCACAGAGGAGGGCAGGCTCTGCTTCGTAGGGGCCTATAGAAGTGACCATGGCTAGCTCTTTGGCTATCTTCCTGCTTTCCCTGCTTGTCACGTTGGACATCCAGTTAATGTTTCCAGTAGGGGACTCTGATGGTGAGAAGTGGGGCAACTGAGGGCCTGTGGGCTAGGAAGCTTACTGCTCTCAGATCTTAGATGTAATGTTGCATGACATTAGAGGAGCTAGAAGTTCCTTTCCACATGAGGAAGGCCACTTGGAAATTCTGGAAGTTTCTGGGTGTTCAGAAAGCCCCGAGGGGAAGAGCCATAGATGAAAATCCAGGCCCAGAGCTGGTCTGGAAGGTGACAGAATCTCTCATATGCTGTCTCCCCAGTGATCTGGGCTGAACATTGGGCACAAGTGCACGTGTCCCTGGAACTAGGGGAGCCCCCACATGCTTCTTGGTTTAGAGGCTTTAAGACACTGCAGGTGGCAATGGGACATCTTCAGATACGGGGCATTTACGTCTTGGCCATCCCAGTAGAGGGGCTCAGTGCTTGTCAAGCTGGCCTTGGTCTCATGTGCAGCCTTGGTCTCATTGCAGCCCTACATATCCCTTCGCTTCCCATGTAAGCTGGCCACCTTCTCGCTTAGATTAGTATCTACTACCACTAATTTCAGCTCTGTTGTTCTAGCATCTCCTCAGAGAAATGGCCCCACCATGATTTCCTAGCGCTCTTCCCTGCCCCTGCTCATCTGCCCTCGTCTCTCCACCTCCCTCTCCTCAATGCCATGGCATCATCCTTTAGCCTCAGCATTAGTACCTCTTTGGAGGGAGCCCTACTGGCCTCTCTGTCCAGCCAGCTTCTTAGCAATAAGTTCACATAGTGGTTGGATATTGTGTGATCCTGGGCAGTTCTGTTATGGACGCTGGCTAGTTCTGTGATGGACCCTGGCTGTTCCAATTGAAGGCTGCAGCCCTGCAGCCCATTGTAGTGACTGGCAAGTCTCAGGGCTCAAGCAGACTCCTGTCACATGGACAGATTTCCATAGAGTAACTCTGGGGGCAGGCAGAAAGTGTGTGTGTGGCATCTAGCTGACTGGGCATAATGATGGAGTCCTACATGGAAGATTAACACAAGTATGGGGCACCAAGCAACAAAGAAGATAAAAAAAAAAAAAAAACTCAGTGGTTTTGCACAGCCTGTCCAAAGCCAAGGGGCTCCTCAGAAACCTCAAGGCTTTTGGGCCACTCAGTTACATAGGGCTGTAGGCAGGTAGCAGAGGAACTTATGGCTACTCCTTTGCTCTGTTCTTCCAGACAGCTGCCAGACCCAGCCATTGAGGACCAGGGTCAGGAGTATATACAGTCTATACTGAGCAAGTATGCAGCTGTGTGTGTGCGCGGCCTGGACTATGGCACTAGGTATGGTGGGCCTGGGGCTGCGGGGCATGTCACCTCCAAGGTTGGAGAAAATGGCAAAGAAACAGCTTCCCACACACCACAGTTAGCTAGGGCCAGGCCCCTTTCTTGGATGAGTGGATTGTAGAGCCTCTGCCCTGCCTAGATTTGGCTGTGGGGGCTGAGAAGGTCATGGATAAATGACTGCCAGCTCAGTTTAAGGCTCTTGAGTTTCCACTGTGTCCTAGGAGGGGCCCCTGAGCTGTCCCTTTCCAAGTCAGGGATTGTAATGCTGCCTGCCTTGCCTTTGTTGCTCTGAATTGCTTTTGCTCTTCTAGGTGTCTTCTGGTGCCAGGTGAATTTTAGGATTCTTTTCTCTAATCCTGTGAGATAGGCTATTGGTATTTTGATCATATTCCCTTCCAGTGAGGTGCCAGTATTATAGCCACTAGGGAGCCAGGGATAGTATGTGTTGTTCTTGGCAAATCCTTGTGGGTAGATGCCCTAGTACTGACATTCTAGGCCCCATGGGTTACCCAGATGGTGCCTGCAGGCTGGTCATTTCTGTGTGTGTCTACCTTTCTTCCATGGGAGACAGGTATTACAACATGAAGAACCTCCCAAGCGGGGCACAGTGGCACACACTTGTGATCCCACCACTTGGGAGGCTGAGGTAGGAATATTGCCGTGAGTTCAGCAGCAGCCTGGGTTACATAATAAGTTCAAGGTCAGCCTGAACTACATAGTGCAAATTTGTCTCAAAAACAAAACTAAAAACAAAACAACACGAAGAACCTCCCACAATGGGGAAGACTGGTTGGGAGAGGAGGTGGAGAGTTTGCTGAGTGTAAGCAGGGGGCTAGCTGACTTGGCTGGGGACATAGGGGAGGAAGAGGACAGGAGGGAGTTATCCAGGAAGTGGCTAAAAGTCTAGACCTTGGGATCCTCCGAGTAGGTAGGTATGACTCGGAGTAGGTAGGAGGTAGGTTACCTACCTCCGAGTAGGTAGGTAAACAGCCTAGCAGTTATTCTGTGACTGTGGCAAGCCGGCAGACAAGGCAGTTGCTGAAAGGGAAGGCAGAGAAGGCTGGTGTTTCAGAGCAGAAGCAACAAGACTCACCCACTGTGGGCCTACAGGGTCAGCCAGGAAACCTAGATGCCCCTGACAAGCTCCTTCCTGACCCCAGGGTTGAGACTGCTGTTCATCTATGACTCGTACCCACCCCCACTCCCACCTCCCTGCAGGCTAACACTGGGCTTGCTTCTTCTACCTCAGATATGGCTCTGATAGGTGAGACTGGCACCAGGGGCTGTATAGAGAATATTGTCTTTCAGAACCAACACCATTATCCTTGTGGATGCAAATGGCCAGGTGACCTTCACAGAACGCAGCATGCTGGACAAGGATCCCTCCCGCTGGGAGACCAACACCCATGAGTTCATGCTTCAGAGCTAACGGCTCCTGGGAGGCCCTGCATCAAGGCCAGTGTGGACTAGAATTTTCATGGCCATACTACCCTGCCCATAACTCAGCCAGTGTCTTCCAAGCCCAGCATCTCTGATCTATGTGTTACCTATCCATGTCCTTGTACCCAGCTCAGGGTCTGTCTTTGTGTCAATGAGGAATGACAGAATCTAATGCTAGACCTGCACAGTTCCAGATATGCCATACATTGACAGTGTACCTGGGTCTACTCTGCCTATGTGCATAAATACACACATACAGATACAGGGTATGTGTTAACACACTTACATGCATAAATATGCACGTGTATACATGGATAGGTACACAGGCACACATATGCATATACACATAGCAGGCAGAAGAACACTTTTCACCACATATGTACTTCTGGCTAGTGGGTCTTTGCTCTGGTCAAGTGGCAGGGATAAACATTTGTTTAAACAGGATTTTTCTTTGGTGGGAGTACACAGTACAATTGTAGTTCAGTTCTCAGTAACCAGACCTCCTCCTGCAGAGGAGACAGGCCACATCAAAGAAGACACAAGAAAAATCCACTTTTACAACTGAAGCATATCCTTGGTAGAGATCCAGTGGTCTTGCATATGCCAGGGAGTCCTAAGTACACGGGGCAGTTTCCATGTACATTGGATGATTTTAGGGTGGTGTAGGTGTCCCATGTATTCTAGAAGGTTTTCTGTACACAGGGGTCCCATGCACACTGGTTGTTCTGACTGGGGAGGGCAGTTGAGTGTGTGCCCAGGACTTCTGGGCCCTTCCTCACTCAGGTGAGCATTGAGGGCTTTGTGCAAGCCTGTCTCAGCAAGGAGACTTAGCTAACCCTTGCTGTATCCTTCTTTCTTGGACAGTCCAGCTTCATAGGAATCTGAATTTAATGTGAGCTATGGATAATAAAGCTTTGAGTCTGTGATGTTTCAAGGTCTTTCCTTTGTGCGATGGTGACAGGACTCCCTGCAGCAGTACAGATGCCTATACAAGGCTCTTTCTCCTTCTTCCTTTTGTCTTCCACATGATGAAGTCTATGGAAGGTGGTTCATCTATCCTTGGGCAGAGACTGAAGCACACGGGGACCTATGTGTATGGAAATTAGGTGCTGTTTACAGGGCAAATCACCTAATACTAGGGATTATTAAGAGGAACTCTGGGATGGAAAGGCATCCACAGGCTTGTGAATCCCACATATTTAATGCACAGCTCAAGGCTTCTTTTTGCCTGACTTGGCTTTTCAGAAGATGGCACCCAGAGCAGTGAGCACAGGATGGATGTGGACCTGCTATGAGGTGTCCCAGCCTGGATGTAATGAATTATTGGCTTGTTTGGGGATGAACAGAAGCCTACTTTTCCCTGCCCCAGGCCTGTGAGGAAACTAGTCTCAAGTCCACATGTGTCTGGCAATCAGAATTACAGGCTCTTAGCTGGGGCTACCACCCTACTGCCAGCATCTTCTATCCGCCTCACTGATTGGCCCTGTGTCCTGTAGCCTTGTTCTATGCCAGCACCCACTTTGACCAGGCACCCTGCCATTGTGCCAAACCTCCCAAGTTGTTTCCCTCTATTATAGGATTGGACATGCCTAGGGAAAGTTAAGTCTTGTCATTAGTCTGTCAGCTCCCCAGCCTGTCTGGAGTATCCCAATGAGCCTTCTGAGGAATGGGCATCCAAGATATATATAGTGTTGTTAGGGCTTGAGTTGTGCCCTCCCTCACTCAAAAAAAGAGAAATTTTAGTTTTAACCTTCAGTACCTCAAAATGTGACTGTGTTTGGAGACAGGGTCATTCCAGAGATAATCAAAATGGGGCCTTTAGGCTGGGCCTGAATGCAATGTGACTGGTGCCCTTCTGTGAAAGGGAACTTGGGCACAGGCACAGAGACAACAATATATGAAGTTCTGTACCAGCCAGGGATGAACCGAGTGCTGGGAGATAGGCCTGGATTGGAACCTCCCCAGAGCTGTCAGAGGGTGCACAGCTGTGACTCTGCTGCTGTCTGGATCTGTGTTCAGCCTGCAGAGTTGTGGGACAAGTGTCTGTTGTTGGTTGCGGATGTAACTCAGTGGTAGAGCACTTGCCTAATATGAAGAGAAAATGGGTAAGAATGATTCAGGCTAAACTGACTAAACAAGATTACTGCCAAAGGCAAAGTATGGAGGGAGTCAGACATCACCTGGGAGGTGGTAGGAAAATGAGGAACCTGATCAGATAGCAAAGATGGAGAGGTTTTTGCCAAACTGACTTAGCAAAGTTCTATGTTAAAGTTGCATGTAGCTCAGTAGTAAAGGATTTGCCTAGCATGTGCAAGGCCCTGGTTAACTTTTCAGCACTGCAAAAACCAAAAATAAAATGAATAACCTAGAACATACAAGGAAACCTACAAATAGGCCTAGGAGGTTCCACAGAATACTATTAGTGAGTCAAGAGGTTCTATTTGAAGTTTACCAATTCTCCCACTAATATCCTTTCTTGAGCTAAGATCTTATTTAGAGTCTGGGTTCCCTATTCCTGGCATCCCTCCATGCTCCTGGTGCTCCCCACCTAAGTGGTTTTCTTTTGCTCAAAGGTGGGTCCACTGTCTGACTTGAATGATACTGATTATGCACTATAAGATTTTGTGCCTTTTGAGGCAGAAATACCAAAAAATGAGTCCATGTCCTCAGGAAACCCATAGTATGTGGATGGGTGTTTTTCCTTCACATTTGTTGAGGCACAATTAATATACACTGTAACAAATATTTGAAGTGTACAATTTGCTCAGTTTGGACATGCTGATGACCTTGGTTGCTTGTTTATGGTGCTGTCTTCCAGGCTTCCTTCTACTGCAAAGCTACTGCTTCCTCTGCTACTACAAGTATCTTGGGGTAGAAACTGCAATTACAACAGTGTAAAACAAAACAAATCAACACCCCCACACACACACGCGCACACACACGCACGCACGCACCCCGACAGCTGGGCATGTAGCTCAATGCTAGTGTGGGTCAGAATCAAGAGATTCGGGGTTCAATCCTTAGTACCAAAACCTACTTTTCAGTTTTTGGCCCACTATTTTTTAAACCACTAAACTAAAAATACCCATGATTTTTGTGTTCAGTAGCAATTACTGAGATGCCTGCCCAATGGGAAATCTGTTTCCGTTATTCTCTCTACACTTGGCGAACGCTAAGAAGTTGTCTCTTCATTTACTCACATCCTCCCTTTTTGAAGACTCTGGATACCGTATTACCGAATGGAAAAGTGTCCGAGACTTGAGCATACTTGATTTTTTTTTTTGTCTTTTTTTTTTATCGGTACCAGGGATCGAACTCACGACTACCTGCTTGCAAGGCGGGCGCTTATGCCGCTGAGCTAAATCCTCAGCCTCTAGCATACATGATTTTAAAAACATGACTATTTGACCAACTAACGCTTTTAACTAGAGGCTGTGCAACGCCTAGACGTAGGACCCCTCCTGCGCAGCCCACAGTAGAGCGCTTCCATGCAAGGTCTCCCAGTGTCCTCAGCGTTCCACTTTCCCGGCACCCACTGCACTTTCTACGCCCCTATTCCCGGCATCCCCCGTGCTCCCGGCGCTCCTCGCGGCCACCGCCCTCTGCGCGCCGAAGCCCCGCCCCAGCAGCTTACCGTTAGCGTAGCGCCGGCCTTGGCGCCTGGTCCCGCCCACGTGGCATAGCTATTGGGCCGTGCGCCGCGAGCACGCGTACCTTCGATTGCCGATTGGCTGCTCCGCAGCCCGCTCTGCGGCTCTTCCAATGTTGGTGGTTGCGCGCGGGTATTGGTCGCACACTGCAAAGGTCCGCCCTCCGTTCTCCCGGCGCGGCAGGCGGGTCCTGCCGACAGGAGAGCTTGTGGGGCCTTGCTGGTCTTGTGGCGGCGGCGGCAGCAGCAGCGGGGCGGTGAGGGTCTCTGCTTTGGTCGGGTAGCAGGCGGCCCGGGCAGGCTGCAGGTGCCGCAGGTAGGTGCGGGGCGCCAAGGGCGCCCCGCGGGCTGGAGGGCGGAAGCTGCGGCCTGCGCGAGAGGGCGCGCCCTTCTCACCTTTTCTCCTCCCTCTTGGGCCAAGGCTGTGGGCTCAGGCGCGGGGCGGGGCAGGGATGCGAGGCGGGCTGGGCCACGCGGTGTCCTGGGCTTTGTGAGGCAACGTGGCTGCGGGCGGCGGGCGCAGCAGCAGAGAACATAGGGTGGGGGCCGGGGTCTTGGATCTGGCTGGAGCTAGGGAGCGGGCCCCACGTCCAGGTGTTCTTGCTGTCCTCACGCCTGGGTAAAGAGACCTCACCCCTGACCCGAAGTCGTAGCATCGCCTTCAGGCGGGAAAAGTGTGGATGGAACAGTGCTCGGCCAGGACCCTGACTGCGTTAACGTAGTTGGGGAAATCTGAGAAATCATTTAAATCTCCAAATATTCCCGGATTGAGTGTCCCTTAGATAATAAGGATGTGCTTCTACTGTAACATTAAACGTGGTAGAAATAAATGGAATGTGGCAACCTGTTGACGGCGATACCTGTCAAGTATTCCCCTATGGACTTGGGTTGCTCATGGTAGGAATTTGATTTGCCTTTGCATGCTTGCATGTACCTTATTACCTGATGCACAGCGGTTCCATGTAGGGCTGTCGACTATTGGAGGCCAATCACTTGGCAGGGGACCTCTGACGGCTTTGTTTGCCACAGACTGGACTCCCAGTTGTAGGAGTGCCTCAAACCACTGCAGGCCATCCTTCATCATTGGGAGTGAATGGTCAGTCAGGGTACTGAGTGTGTTTCCCCTGTGAGTGAGCACAAGATGTGAAGCCCTTCAGAGGATGACAAAAGGAATGGATGAGGTCATCCTGCTGCTGGGTTGCGCGGGAATCTGCAGGGAAATGCTTTAGTGAATGACTGCAGCCACAGTACTGGACACTACAGCCAGTGCTTGGTGTCTGCCCAGTAAGGGGACTCCAACTGAGGAGTGTGTTGGGTTGGGAGTTTGTTACCAATGTGCTGCTGGCTCATAATCCAGTTAGCAAGACAACGTTGTATCGTTTTTTTCAATCATCTAAAGCAGCAGTAAGACTGAAGAGTGGAGAGCCACCCTTTGAACTGTGCATGGCCAGGCACAGTTTAGAGCACTTCCCAGGGGTTGTTTTATAGTCTTTTTGTAACCTTGAGGTGGAAAAATGATTTGGACTAGTTTGCTCAGTTTTGGTCTTCTCTTGTCATAGTGTCCCCTTCCCACGTGATCTCATCCAGCCTTTTGGGTTTAATGCCAATGTTTCTGGACACCTTTCATTCTCCACCTTTATCTGCAGCTCTTGACCTGCCTCCTGAACTCCAGCCTCACACTTCCAACTGCCTTTTCCACATTGTTTGTTTGCCTTTGGTCCTGCTGCTGGGGAAGGTTTGAGATAGGTTCTTGTTTTGTAGTTCAGACTGGCCTTGACCTCACTATATAGCCTAGGCTGGCCTTGAACTCAGAGATCCACCTGCCTCAGCCTCCCAAGTGCTGGAATCACAGCCCTGTTCCACCACACTCGCCTATCACATGTTATTTTGATGCCAAGGAGCTGTGTCCAAATCAAACTTCAGTCCCCCTACCACATCTTGTGCTTTTCTAAAGTCACCTTGATTACTGTTTTATTCTTTTTTGCATCCCTTAAAATGCCCTGTCAGCTCACCTTTTGTTTCCAACAGTTGTTTCTCTACTTTCATTTTTGTGTCCTAGTCTAAGTTACCAGGGAGTCTTAATTATTTTCTTTGCTCTCATCTTTGGACCCTTTGCTATATATTTATAGTTTTTCTGAACCCAGTGTGTTTCTTTAAACCGTAAGATAGTATAAAACTGAGGCAGTGCAGATTCAGGCTAGCTTACCTCGTTGACAGATGTACCACTTCCCACCTGTGTCACCTGGAGCAAATTGTTTTAATCTTTCTATGCTTAACTTTACTTTCAGAACTACATAAGAACTGAATGACTTTAAGTACATAAAATGTTTTGACCATGTGCAGGCTGAGGGTTGAATGCTATCCTTGTAATGTCACTGTTAGATCCTCCTGTCCAGTGGCCTATCTGTCAAGATAAAAGCCAAAGCCTGACTGATGTGGTCTATTGTCACTGTGTACACTGCCCTAGCTTGGTCACAGCATACTTCTGCCCTAGTGCCTTCACTTTTCCTCCAGGTGTTGCCAGGGATCTTCCCTCTTACCCCTTCTACCTAATTGGCTCTATTCTGCCTTCAAGGAAACAGTGGATGTGGGATCTCTCTCTCACCACCCTTTTGGAAGCTGCCTCCCCTTTCCCACTCCTTTACTTTCTTCCTTTTAAAGCTTGAGCATTTCTCAGCATGTGACATGTTAGGTGCTTTTGTTAGTTGTTACTTGTTTATCATCCCTGCTAAAATCTGAGCTCTGTGGGCCAGGATTTTTGTCTGTCTTGTGCTTGTTGCATTTAGAATGGTGTGTATGTCCTGTAGAAGGCATTCGGCAAAGGGCTGTGAATGAATAGAGAAAGCACATAGACAAAGAGTAAGGAATTTGCCCAGGACTACCCGTTGCCAAGTTCAGAGGTGACCAGCTTTCTTTCTGAACCTCCAGGAATGTATTCTCCCATCCCAGGATTTAAGGTCCCTATGTTGTCTATCTTTTCAAGACCCTTTTTAGCAATTATTATCATCTTATCTGTTAACATGCAGGTTATTTTCTTAGCTGTTAACATGCAGGCACACAACAGGCTTCTCCATCCTGTTCTACCCTTTATCTCCACTGCTCAGCTCATGGGTCTTCAAACATTGACTCCCTAAGGTCTTTGCACACTTACCAGGTTCTGGGGAATCTGGTCATGGTCTTATGTGAAGTCTACCACACTGTGTTGACCTGTTTGTTTCTGCAGTGGTCTTTCTTGGCTGCCAGGAGACTGGCCTTCACTCTTTTGTTGTCCTTCATGCCAGCCTAGTTGCAGCCTCCTTAGTGTAGTGACTGCTACTTTCTCAATCTGACATTGTTTTTGTTTATCCTAAGCGCCTTTGACAGACATATTTTTGGGGAAGTATTTTGTTAAATTTCTATTGAATTCAGAAACATTGGACCATTCTAGTATTTAGAAATACAATAACAGTACAGTGGTTGTTGCCCTTCCAGCTGTGTCTCTTTGTGGTAGCATCTCCCTCAGAAGAGACTATCAGTGAATATTTGAGTTAATTTAACCTGAACAAGTTCCTGGATTTTATGTTGTATCTCCTTCAAAGCATAGCTACTATACTCCATCCTTTCATTATGAGCCTCTTAAACAGATGATGTCTGCTGCCTCTTGTGTTTTTCTGGGGTCTTCAGAGTTAATGTACGTGCTTGCTTACCTCTTGATCTGCTACTTATAGGTGTGGTCATGCTTGTGTCCGTATATGTGCATGACAGCATGTGCATGTTTGTATGTGCATGGAGTGGGAGTATACATGCATGCATGTGTGTGTGTGTGTCTGTGCACATGCTTCTGGTTGCTGGCAGTCCTGTTGTAGACATTTGGGTTTTCTGGCTGTTGACCTTTACCTGCTTTTTCTACCTTGAGTCATCACTTTTTGTGCTTTTTCAGTAGTGCAGCTTACTAGAGTAGGCACTCTTCCCACTCTGATCACTTTCCTCCTGTGGTTTTGGCATTTGTCTCCTTGCTTATGTGATCTGGCCTACCAGATCTTCCTGGGCTAGTTGGGGTGGAGAGATGTGACTTTAAGGCCTGTCAGATCTGGAGCATCCCTCTATTCTCCTCTCCAGGCTCCTGCCTGGATGCTAGAATATGTGTGTTGCTCCAAGGGAAAAGCCTCCCTTACGTTGGGTCCCTCTTTTCTCTGCTATCAATCCCATTGGGTCCACAGGTATCGTCAGTCTTTGATGTGTCCAGAGCCTCTTTTATACCTTCGTCCTCTGGCTTTACCAATAGCTGGGTGCAGTTGCCTATGTCTGGCATAGCTGAGTCTTCTTTGTTTTTTGGTACCAGGGGTCGAACTCAGGACCTTGTGCCTGCCAGGCAGGCGCTTACACTGCTGAGCTAAATCCCCAGCCCCCAAGTCTTCTTTCTGATAACAGTTGCTTCACCCTTGATAGTTTATTGCCCCCAGGATGGAGCTAGGCTCAAAGTACCCAAGACTCTCAACCTTGGTTCCAGCTTGCTCCTGCAGCTCCCCCTAAAATTCCAGCAGGTTCCCTTCCCAACAGCTACCTGCCCCTTTCCTCTATTGGTAACAGAACTATGCTGCTATCTCTCTGGTGACCTCAGCACGCTGCATCACTGTCCTGTCCACGTGGGCCCAGGAGAGGGGGTCCCTGGGTAGCAGAGTGCCTGGCCATATCTCTGAGGCTTCTAGTGCCACAGAGTTGAGCTGAGGGTCTCATGCTTTCCCTCTGACTGACCCAGCCCTTGCAGGTGAGTGGATTGATGTTGCTCTGATGGCCTGAGGGAAACCATGTATTTTGTGTGTTCCAGAAAAGGCGGCCTCCCACTGCATGCTTGCTTATCTGTTAGACTGAATTAGGGGAGTGCTGCAGTGAAGTTTAGTGTAGTTTTTTTTATTATTGTTATTCTTTTTGAGCCTTAAAATCGTTTTTGTGCTTCTGAAGTAGGAATTAAAATGGACAGTTAATAAAATATTTAACTTAGAACTTAATTTATAATTTTAAGTTCTAAAGAAAAATAGTATAAGTTTGTTCTGATGTCTAAAATGTCCTGGTATGCATTATTATTTTAAGTGCTGTACTACACTGTGAATAGTGCTTGACTTGTTGGCACCAGGGAAGTGAAAAGTTTCTGTCATTTTGTGATGCTATTTTTAAATTTCTTTGCAGGTGGAAGAAGAGAGGTGCCATTTTGGCATGAAGACAGACTCATTAGTCGTCAGTCTTTTAAGCTGAGTGCATTGTGATTTCCAATAATTGAGGCAGTGGTTCTAAAAGCTGTCTACATTAATGAAAAGAGCAATGTGGCCAGCTTGACTAAGCAGCCAGTGTGCACAGCGCGGGCAGGACGGCACCGGGTCTCAACGGACTTGTGCATGTTAGCTGTATAGATTTATGTAAGGTGTTTTAAAACTCTGGTCTTTTAAAATAGTCTTAACTGCTTTTAATATGGATACGTATGAGAGTCCCTCTCCTCTCCCGCGTGAGCCCGCAGGAGAAGCAATGATGGAGAACCGAGCTTGCCCTTTCCAAGAGCTACCCTGTGAACAGTCTCCACCACCTCCCCTGCAAACGTCCAGTGATGCAGAGGTAATGGACGTTGGCTCTGGTGGTGATGGACAGTCCGAACCCCCTGCCGAGGACCCATTCAACTTCTACGGAGCTTCTCTTCTCTCCAAAGGATCCTTCTCTAAGGGCCGCCTCCTCATAGACCCGAACTGTAGTGGCCACAGCCCGCGCACTGCCCGGCACGCACCTGCGGTCCGGAAGTTTTCCCCTGACCTTAAGTTGCTTAAGGATGTAAAGATTAGTGTGAGCTTTACTGAGAGCTGCAGGAGTAAGGACAGGAAGGTGCTGTACACAGGAGTAGAGCACGACACTCGGGCGGAATGCAGTCTGCTCCTTAGTCCTCTCAGTGGAGACATGCATGCTTGTCCCTTTGGTGGGAGTATTGGTAATGGGGTAGGCATAGGGGGTGACAGTGCGGATAAGAAGGATGAGGAGAATGAGCTGGATCAGGAAAAGAGAGTGGAGTATGCAGTGCTCGATGAGTTAGAAGATTTTACTGACAATTTGGAGCTAGATGAAGAAGGAACAGGCGGGTTCACGGCTAAAGCAATCGTTCAAAGAGACAGAGTGGATGAAGAGGCCTTGAATTTCTCCTATGAGGTATGTTGGCAACCTCTCTGTCTAGAGGGCTCTGAGCAAAACCCTAAGAAAATTTTGGGAATGGTCTCATCTTTTGAAAGCAGAGGCATTTTTGGAAAAGCCCAACCTCTTATCAGGTTGAGTAACTTTAATGTGGAGAAGAGAAACATGTAAGGATTTTTAAAGTTTCTTAATGAAAAATGTGACTGACACTTGGCCTTGTATCGTCTTTCCAACTTGAGTTGGCGGGTGCTGCTGAGAGGCCTTTTTGATGGGGTGTGCACCTGGACCAGGTGTGTTGATTTCACTTGTCAATTCATTTTGTTTGTTTTTCAGATTATACCACAAGGGCACTTTGAGACCCCCTGAGCGCCTCTTTTCTATGTCTATCTTCACTAATGTTAAGCTTGCCACAGTGCAGGGGCACAGGCTCTAGGGGCTGTGGGATCTGAACATTTTGTTTTGCAGGATGACTTTGACAATGATGTGGATGCTCTGCTGGAAGAAGGCCTTTGTGCTCCCAAGAAGAGGCGAATGGAGGAAAAATATGGTGGAGACAGTGACCATCCCTCTGATGGAGAGACAAGTGTACAGCCAATGATGACAAAGATTAAAACAGTCCTCAAAAGTAAGTCTGTGGTCACAAAATGGTGTTTCTAGGCATTCGAAATACAGTTTCAGCTCTGCGTGATGGTGCATGCTTATAATCCCAGCACTCTGGGAGGCTCAAGCAGGAGGATTGCAAGTTTGAGTCCAGTCTGCAACTCAGTGATTTAATTGGACCTGTCTCACAATATTATAAAGAGCTAAGGGTGTAGGTTTGTATGAAGGCCCTAGATTTAATCCCCAATATTGAAAAAAGGGAAAGAAAAAAAAAAGAAAAGAAAAGAAGTACAGTTTCTTCCACAAAAACCTTTTGAGAATACTCTGTTACTAGGCATTGGTGTTGGTTGATACACATATTTGAGTACAGGACAGTTGTGTCTAATGAAAGGACCCAAGGATACCCTCAGACATACAGCCATACAGTATTGTTTAGAAGACCCCTGAGGTCAGTACGTCATTGTATACTGGGGACCAGTACTAGCATCTAGAGGGCATGGAGGCCAAGGCCATGGGTGGGTGCTCAGTGAAGTGGCAGGTAATGATTGTGTTGTAGGTTTTAGTTCTGCACTAAGTGACACAGGAAACCACTGAGAAGTAGGTCAGTGTTATTTGAATTTTGTTTAAAAGCATGGCTCCTGGGACCACAGAATGGTGTGTGTACTTTTGGTAGGTAGGATCAAAACTCTTTGGATAGAAGTGGAGATTTTTTTTTTTTTTTTTTTGTCTTTTTCGTTTTTATTGGTATCAGGGATCGAATTCACGACTGCCGGCTTCCAAGGCAGGCGCTTATGCCGCTGAGCTAAACCTCCAGCCCCTAGAAGTGGAGATCTTTTAGAGATGCAGGCAGTGGGGCTTGCATTTCAATTTTGAGACAGTGGGAGAGGAATATGGAAGTGTTCAGAGTTGTGTTACAAGGCTCTATTGTTAATGTGAGGCAGATACAGAATGAGTTGTAGTGGGTTTCTTTCTGTACTTGCCTAGAGGCATTTGTAATTGTCCTGGTAGAGTTGCCAGGATAAGTGGAGGGGCTGAAGTAAGTGTCCATGACTGCCTGCCTTGGGCCATGGAGAGGATGAGTTGGCAGTACCAGGTGCTGCATGTTGTATCTGTGTTGGTGGTAGATAGAAGAGGTTTTGGGATAAGCAGTCGCAGACCCACTGAACTTAGGTGGGAGGCAGAGCTGATCTTTATCTTGGTGCCTCTGGAAAGTTAGCTTTGTGTTTCAGGAGTCTTACTTGGCTTGTACACCTGCGTCTATCATGCGCAGCCCACAGGTCAGTGATAGATCTGACCTGCCTGCTTGCTGCTGTGAACTCTTTGGATGCTGGGCTGTCTGTGACTCCCCACTGTCACAGATTAGCAATTAGAGTAAACTTACATCTTATCTTATGCTTGCTTCTGCATTTCTTTTGCTTATTTTCTTGAATTAGCTAAGAGCTAGTATGAGGCAGCTCCTCCTTGGCTCATCCTCTTGAAGAAGACTCATGGGATGCACTTCTGATTGGCAGTACTCCCTTCTTGTGATCATCTGGTATTAGTTGTATGTAGGTGGTGATACCAGGTCAGGGCGTCCAGGTGGGTACTGGCCCAGTGGTGCCAGTATCTTTCCCTAAGAGTCATTGGCACCTTTTTTTTTTAATCATGTAGAGTGTTTTAGGTTTCATTGGCTTTATTTTCTTCATGTTTCAAAATTTTGTATTGCTCTTATTATTTATAAACAGCATTGTTTTAGTTAAACATTACCTTGTGTTTTTCTGTCTTGTGTTTTTCAATCAAGTCTGTCTCTGTGGCAAGTGGATTTAAAAAGTCTGAAACTTTTTTCTCATGTCTACCTATGAAGTAAGGAAGAGATTGAGACCAGTGTAGAATCTTATTAATTTGAAATAATATCTTATTTTTATTTATTTATTTATTTTTGGTGCTAGGCAAGCTCTGTACCTCTGAGCTACACACTCAGCTCTGAAGTTTTAAAATGTATCACCTTGTCCCCATTAGCATTGTCTGATTGACATGCAGTTTATTAGCAAAGTTCACCCCATCTGTGGGGTGACTATGGGCATGGTTGAACAGGCAGGAGAGAAGTCTATTGCCTGTAGTATTCACCAGAGGTAGGGATAAAAGTTGGGATGAGTATTTGTGTGCTTATATAGCCTTATTTTGGGCTCCTCATATGATGATTTTACCTAAGTTCCCACACCATGCCTTAAGATATCCTAAAAGTGGAAATATATCAGGGAGCAAGACAGACAGGAACTTACTCTTTAGAAAGACCCAGATAAATACATAAACATAGAGCAGTTTGATGTGTGAGAGGTGTTATAGTGATAGTCCTAAGTGTTTTTAAAGTGAATGTAGGATGTTCTCTTCTGTGCAGGTCGTGGCCGCCCACCTACAGAGCCACTGCCGGATGGATGGATCATGACCTTCCATAATTCTGGAGTCCCTGTGTACCTGCACAGAGAGTCTCGGGTGGTCACCTGGTCCAGACCCTACTTCTTAGGAACTGGAAGCATACGGGTAGGAGAGGTGTCAGTTTAGGCTTGTCAGTTCTCACAACAAGCCCATCTGCACATGTTGCGCTGTAACCAAATGAAGACCTATGAAAAGCCTCAGGTTTTCAGACTCTCGGGGTCATCCTGGTAACCTCTGTTGCAATGTCACTATCCACAGAAACACGACCCTCCTCTGAGTAGCATCCCTTGTCTGCATTATAAGAAAATGAAGGACAATGAGGAACGAGAGCAAAGCAGTGACCTTACTCCCAGTGGGGAAGTATCCCCCGTCAAGCCCCTAAGCAGATCTACAGAGCTGGAGTTCCCTTTGGAAGAGCCTGACTCTGTGGGTACAGACTCAGGGCCCCCAGATGAGAAGGACCTGCTGGGGGCTGAGGCTGCCCCTGGAGCCCTGGGGCAGGTGAAAGCCAAAGTTGAGGTGTGCAAAGATGAGTCAGTTGGTAAGTTCTGTAAAGGAGCTTTCTTCCCTTTCTGCTTTCTGGGACCCAGCTGCATCCAGTGCTTACCCTGGCATCTTGTTCCTACTGCCAAAGGCCACCATTCCTAGTTCCTAGTTGTGTCTGGGAGGAGGAGACTGTGCCTGTGCACTCACATGTGGTTGGGAAAGGCTGTCTTCCTGCTCTTGCAAACGCCTGCCTGGGTCCTGTGCCCCTGGATCCTATGCCCAGGCTCTGCCAGGCCTGCATGCCTGAGGCTGCCATGGAACAGGGCTGACAGTGCCAGCTGACTTTCTGGCAGCTTGTATGAGCTTTCCTGAAGTCTTGCTTTTTCAGTAGTATGTGTTCATGTGGCACTGATTGGATTTGTCCTGATAAGCTCAGGTTGAGTCTTCAGTTCATGGATTCAGTACAGTGAAACTACCACTGTTCTGAGGTGGTAGATTTCCTTCAGCCCACCTGCTGGATCACTTTCAAAGAGAACTTCCTGTTTTTAGGTGTTATGCGTGTCTGTATATTGCTGTCCTACCTATCTCAAGACTCTTGAGTGTAAGGTGCCCTGGAAGAGATGTGAGAGATGAAAGCTATTACTGAAGACGGGGAGGAATCTGGAAAGAGGGGTGACAAGCACAGAGGCCCCAAAGGAGTCAGGGAGCTCATTGGATCTACTACTGAATGCAGAAGTAGCAGGACCAGAGGGAAGAGTGAGACAGTGATGAGGTCACAGACAGTTGCTGTCAGCAGTTAGGTTATTGACTGATTGACTGCGGTGCTGGAAAGTGAACTCAGGGCTTCTAGCATGCTGTTCATGTTTTCTACCACTGAGTTATACCTGCAACCGTGGGTACTTGTTTTGCTATTGGGAGAAAAACCTGAAGACTGTGGTTTTTAATTAGGTTTTGTGTGTGTGTCGTTTTTTTAATATTCTTGCTCCAAGTAGAATCTATCATAGGAATCTATCATAAAGTACTTGCCAGAATAATTTGAACTGAGAGAATAAGGAACTTATTCTTTGCTTTTTTTGCCTTTTGAAAGAGATAAGGAAAGGGAAACACAGGTATCATGTGGCCTAGACCTGTTTTTTTTTTGTCTTTTTCATTTTTATCAGTACCAGAGATCGAATTCACAAACGCCTGCTTGCAAGGCAGGTGCTTATGCCGCTGAGCTAAATCCCCAGCCCTGGCCTAGACCTGTTTAACAAGCCTGCTGTCATCCTACATATATAGGCTAAGGAAACATGATTCCTACATTGGAAAGTTAATCTAGTTCTCTGGTAACTCTTGGACAGATCTGGAGGAATTTCGAAACTATCTGGAGAAACGTTTTGACTTTGAGCAAGTAACTGTGAAAAAATTCAGGACTTGGGCTGAGAGGCGTCAGTTCAATCGTGAGATGAAGCGGAAGCAGGCGGAGTCAGAGAGGCCCATTCTTCCAGCTAACCAGAAGCTCATCACTTTATCTGTGCAAGATGCACCCACAAAGAAAGGTGATTTGGGCTTGTAAATGTCAACATTACCTGGGTTTTGTTTTGTTTTATTTTGTATGAGGGATCGAACTATGGTATTGAGCTTGCCAGGCAGGCGCTTGTGCCATATGTTGTTATTTCTAGTATGATGCATTGAGAGGATATTGTTTTTAAAATTGTACTTAGTTTAGTAGTGGTGAGTCCCTGACTTAGACAGTGCCAGGTCCTAGAGTGCTAGTTTGTAGTAGCTCCTCATGTTGCTGAAACAGTCCTTCTTGTTGCAGAGTTTGTCATTAATCCCAATGGGAAGTCTGAGGTCTGCATCCTGCACGAATACATGCAGCGTGTCCTCAAGGTTCGCCCTGTTTATAATTTTTTTGAATGTGGTAAGTTTGACCTTCCTCATTTCTGTTCTGAATCATGCATGTCACTCGGGTGTGAGCTGGGAAAATGGGAACTTGTTGGCCCTACTCACTGAAATAGAAGTGCAAGGGAAGGGAAAGAGAAGCACATTGTAATAGGCAGTTCATTTTCATGGAGTTGTACCCTTGTTTGAGAGTGAATGGCTTTGCATTCTCCTTGGAGTTTGCCCCATGTTGCCCTGTTTTTCTCCCTACCTCTACTTTCTCTTGTCCTGTTGTGTCTGCCATACTGGCCCCTGACCCTGCATTGTCAAGGACAGCCTTGTGAGGAAGGCCCTCCCTGCTGTGCACTGGGTTCTTTTCTGGTGTTTACATAGCCCCAGGTAGATGTTTTGTTTTGTGTGTACCAGGGATTGAGCTCACGACCTTGCCAGGCTTAGCTAAATTCCCGGCGGTTCCGGGTAGATGATGGGGCCTTGGCCCATACTTTTTCTGCCAGCTGTCTTCCATGGCATCTTCCTCACACATTTGTGAAGACTAGTTTGTCACCCCTTGGAAACTGAAACCTGAGTTTGTTCATTATATTGAGTGTTGTTTCTCTGCCTCGCTGTATCCTATGCTTTCCCACTCCTGAGAGTCTTGCATCCATTTTTCAGAGACCCTGTCCCTGTCTGGATTGCTCTGCCTCCAGTTTCTCTTTCACCCTCTGGCTCACCCTTGGTCCCCCATTTCCCTCAATATTCCCAGCTATGGCTTTCACTGCTGACTGCCCTCTACCCTATCTCCATATCTCAGGGAGTACCTCCCCTGTCTTTGCAGATAAGCACATATTCGCTCTCTGCAGGGGCATCTGTTGGTGTGGGCAAACTGTGTGTGTGCTTGCTTTTAATGTCTTGGCAAGTGTTTTAAAACAAGTAATTTTAATTTTAAGAGAACCCAAGTGAGCCTTTTGGTGCCTCGGTGACCATTGATGGTGTGACTTACGGATCTGGAACTGCAAGCAGCAAAAAACTTGCGAAGAATAAAGCTGGTAATGTGCTTGCTTGGGTGTCCTAGAGACACATGCTGCCTGCTGTCTCTGCCTTGCCCCTTGATTTGGAAGGGCAGTGGCAGCAGGTTGGGGGAGTATGGGTGGGGCGCATTCATTTTGCTTATATAATCATCTACTTTGACTTTTAAAATTATGTGCTTTATTAGAAAAGCAGTCAAGAGAGTAAAGAGTAAGACTTTATTTATTTATTTATTTTAGTGGTACTGGGGATCGAACTCACGACCGCGTGCTTGCTAGGTAGGCGCTTATGCCACTGAGCTAAATCCCCAGCCCCAAGAGTAAGACTTTAGAGTAAAGGTCTCTGCTGAGTGCCAGCAGGACCATTATTTCCTATGTTCCAGTTGTGCACAGATTCAGGTGTGCTCAGATTTAACTGGGTGGTGTCAGTTGCAATGTAGAGCAGATTTGTTTTTATACTAAACAGAATGTTCCTATGCTAAGAGAAGAGGCAGATTGATGTGCAGTTTATGTTTTCCTTGAGTGGTTTTGACATGACTTTCATGAGTCCAGATTTCATACTGGGGACTAACCACTCCTTATATTGCACAGCTTATCTCTGGGAAGGCCAATGTTTTCTGGCTGAAATTCATTGCACTTTGGACCAGGTTCTTGCTGTTTGCTTTCATGCTTAGCCATAGTCTTAGTTGGCATTCTTTCACCAGAGCCATTTTGCCTTGGCATTGGTGTTATTTGGCCTCTGTTGCAAAGTGGACCAGATGACAAGGTAGTGTCAGGCAAACACCCAGTTCTTGCACCCATAGTTCTATTGAGTTTTCTTTCTTCCATTGACACATTGTTTCTTAGAGCAGGTCTGTCCTAGACAGATCAAGAAGTGTGTTCAGTTATTTCATAGTCTCCTTGGGTCTTGGGGGCAGTAAGTGTTTTCTGTTCTTGGGTATCAGAATATCCTTTTGTGTTGCTTTTTTTTGATGACAGATGTTGAGGGTGATAGGAAACCTTTCTGCATTGTGTTTGTTCCTTCCTTTGCTCAATTATCTTGAGCTCACATGCTCCTCAGCCACCTCAGATACCCAAGAAACAGATTCTGTCTGAACGACTTTTTGAGTAGAAATGTTGCTGAGTGCAGCCCGATGTGCAGGTAGACATGTCCTGGTCAAGGCCCAGGCTGTTCTTTCTTTGGAATCACCTGCTTTCCTACTTCTGTGCTGGAAATCTATTTTCTCTGTCCAGATTCCAGCTCTTCTCTAGGCATTTGTATTGGGTTGAAGGGCTGTTGTACACATCCAACACCCCTGAGTGGTGGGTAGCAGCCTTGTTCTCATGATTGCTATCCCCACACTCTGCACATGCTGTTTCTGGAGTGTCCCTCAGATTTCGCTTTAGCTGCTGCCCTTGTGCCATCTGGACACCTGGAGCAGCCAGTTCTCAGACCTTTTTGTAGGTCTGAGATTCTGCCAAGCCACTTTTCTCACACTACCAAAATGATTTCTTTGAATCATGGATCTGAACCTCTCTCTTACCTGTTGTCAGGACTTCAGAATGAAAGTTTATGTGCTCAGTGTAGCTCATAGTCCCATAGCTGACTGCAATGGCCCCCTTCCTCAGGATACGCTTTCTCTTTCATTGTTTCCTGATCCTCTCTGTGAAATACTGCTGCTCTCTGGCCCTCACCGCTGTAAGCCATGGGAATGGATGCCATCACACAGCTTACTCCGCAAGCCAGGCAACATGTCTACCTTCTCTGTCAGCCTAAACTTCAGGAAGAGGGGCTCAGGCTTTTATTTTCAACCTTATCTTTTTGTAGCCCGAGCCACACTGGAAATCCTTATTCCGGACTTTGTTAAACAGACCTCTGAAGAGAAGCCCAAAGACAGTGAAGAACTGGAGGTGAGTGTCATGGTCTTGCTCCACTGGGAACTGGGCAGCCCTACCTGTTTCGAGTGGTCTGATCTGGGACAGTCCATTAACTATGCTTGGTCTTCATGCTGTGTGCTAAGAATGTAATTATCTAGCCTCCAAGTGATACTATTTGTACTTTTCTTTGTTTCTTTCTTTCTGTTTTTTGGAGTGCTACTGGATCTTTTGGCGCTGGGCTATGTATTTAGCCTTTTGTGTATTACTTTGAGACAGTCTCCTTAAGTTTCCTAGGCTGGGCTCAAACTTTGGATCTTCCTGGGATTGGAGGCATGTGCCACCACACCTACCTGTATATATTTCATAAAAGCAGAAACTTTGTACAAGCAGGGGGAAAAGAGTGGTTTTTTGGCAGATTTTTGTTGCCGATATAAGTGTATGCTATAGACAGATCTGGTGGGAATGGACCTGTTAAACAGAGTCTGTAAGATTTAGGTTGTTCTTTCAAAAGAACTTTTTTAAACTGTTGGCTTACCCTTTATGGTAAGATGAGATCTGTGATTATTTGTAGCAGCAGCTTTACAGACTCTGAAGGATGCTTTTTTTGTGACAGCTTTATTGAAATAAACTACTATAAAATTTGATCTTTTAAATTTTCCAGCTCTGTGGATTTTGTGTAATTAGCTGTACAAAAGGTTATAGCTATCTTAATTTTAAAATACTTTTATCACTCTAAAAAGGAATTCCAAATTGATTAGCAGTTGCTTGTAGTTCTTCCTAAATTCCAGACTTGGCAATTTACTAATCTGCTTTGACTATGTTTGCTATTTCTGGACATTGCACATGCATAAATAGTATCATGTAATATGTGGTTCTTTGTGACTCGTCTTCTTTCTTAGCATGCTGTTTTTTTTTGTACCGGGAATCGAACTCACGACTGTGTGCTTGCAAGGCAGGCGCTTATGCTGCTGAGCTAAATCCCTGGCCTAGCATGCTGTTTTTAGCTGTGGGTTCTTTATGAGATAGAGCAAGTTTGCTTCTATTCCCAAATTTTATTAGATATGGGTGTTAGATTTTTTTCAAATGCTTTTTCTGCTTGTATTGAAATGATTAGGTAAATTTTCTCTTATATTTTATATTATAATTGATTTTTGGATGTTCAACTTTGTGTTCTTGGAATAAATACCTCCTGCTCATGGCTTATAATCATGTTTCTAGGTTACTGAATTTTGCTAGTATTACTGTTTTGCTAGTATTAGGTTAGGGGTTTTTACATCTATGTTTGTAAGGAATGTTGGCCTTTTCTTTTTTTCATAGTGTCTAGATCTGTAGGCTAATACTGGTGTTACAAATGAATTGGAAAATGTCTCTTCCTCTTCTACTGGATTAATTAATATTAATTTTTTAAATATTTGCTATACTTCACCTATATACTTGATTTATTTATGTTTTATTTTGTTTTTTGAGACTAGGTCTCATTATGTAGTCCAGGCTGACCTCAAACTCATTGCAGTCCTTCAGCCTTAGCCTGCCAAATACTGAGATTATAGTTGTGTGTCATCATACCTGGCTAGTGTTTTTAATTTTACTTATTTTGAAGGCTAGGGATTGAATCCAGGGCCTTTGAATTCAGGGCCTAGCACATGCTAAGCAGGTATTCTACCATTGAGCTATATTCCAAACCCCCAATGAAACCTTCTGAGTTTAGGCTTTTCTTTGTTGAAAGTTAACTTGACTACTAAGTCAATCATATTTCTTATAGGTCTGTTTAGATTTTTCTCTTCTTGAGATAGTTTTGATAGTTCTTTCTAGGACTTTTTCCATTTGATCTAGGCCGGCAGTGGCAAACGTATGGCATGTGTGCCATAGTGGGTTAGCTGTATCATTGAAAGCTTTAAAAACACTGATCTGGGCTATCTCATCATTAGCATTTTCATAGTATCTTCTTATGATCTGTTTTTTTCTTTTCCTAAAAGATAGTGATATTCCATCTTTTTGTTGTTGCTGTTTGGTTTTTGTGACAGGGTCTTACCATGTAGTTTAGGCTGGGCTTGACCTCAGCTGTGTAGCCCAGACTGACCTTAACCTTGTAGTGATCCTCCTACCTTCTTGCCTCAGGCTTCTGAGTGGTAGGACTATAGATGTGTGCCACTAGGCTCAACTCCCTCTTTTGTTACTGATTTTAGTGCTTGAGTGTCATATCCTTCCCCTCCTCTCTGGCAATATAGGTAAAGTGTTATTAGTATCTTAAAGCTCCAAATTCTGGTTTTGGTAAAAAATTTTTTTTCTGTCTAAAAAAATTCTCAAGCCAGGTGTGATGGCGCATGCTTATAATTATGCTGAGGTAGGAGGAGCAAGGCAAGTTTGAGGCCAGTCTGAACTACCTAGTGAGACCCTGTTTGAACAAAACAAACAAAATTCTCTGTTAATTTCAATTCCAGTCTTTATTGTTTCCTTCTTTCTCCCAGTCTTGAATTTAGTTTTGGTTTGTTCTTTTTTTATGGTGTCTTGAGGTTAGAGGTCAGCTCCTCATATCTATGGTTCTATATCCATAGATTCAACTAACTATAGATCTAAAGTATTTGGGGAAAATTGCCTCTGTACTAAACATGTAGACTTTTTCCATGTCTTCATTTCCTAAACTATATATGTTGTATCAGATATAAATAACTTATAGGTGATTTAAAGTTTCTAGGAGAGACCAAATGTGTAGCTCCATCATAGAGCAAGGGTCTGATTTCTTTCTTTCTTTTTTTTTTTTTTTTGTGGTACTAGGGATCGAATTCTTGACCTCATGCTTGCCAGGCAGGCACTTATGCCACTGAGTTAAATCCCCAGCCCAAGGCTCTGATTTCAATCCCAGAGCACCATACATATACCAAAATAAAAAGTATGTGTGAGTACTACCTATGCCATGTGCCATTTACAATAAAGAATTTAGATATCTACAGATTTTAGTATATAAAGGAGAGTCCTATAACAGTCCTTCATAGATACTAAAGAACAACTATGTATGGGATTTACAGCTATAAATTTTCTGTGGTGTATTTAGCTACCTCTCTCAGTTTTTTTTTTTTTTGGTCTTTTTCCTTTTTATCGGTATCGGGGATCGAACTCACGACTGCCTGCTTGCAAGGCAGGCACTTATGTTGCTGAGCTAAATTCCCAGCCCTGACCTCTCTCAGTTTTTATTTAATGTTTTTTTGTTTTGTTTTTTTGAAATGATCTCACTATGGTTGCCCAGGTGGCCTTGAACTCATGGCTTAAGCATTCCTCTTGTTTCAGCCTCCTAAGTAATTGGGACTACCAGTGTGTGCCACTGTGCCTGGCCATCTCAAAATGTTTTCTAATTTTTCTTGTGATTTCTTCTTTGACCTTTGATTATCTTAGGGGTTGGCTAATTTTAATATATTTACAAATTTCCCAATTTTCTTTTTGATACTGATTTCTAATTTAATTCCATGGGGAATGAAAATAGGTTTGTTTTAGTTTGGTTTTTCTGTTGCTAGAAGTTAAGCCCAGGGCCTTTGCACTGAGCTATATTGCTAATCCTTTAATTTTATTGTCCATTTTATTTTCCAAGTTTTGCTAAGCCACTAAGCTTCCCAGGCTAGCCTCAGACTTGTTCTTTCTGCCTCAGCCTCTTAGAATGCTGGGATTATAGGCATGCACCACTATGCTCAGCTAGGGAAACATAGTTTGTATTATTTCATTCCTTTTTGGTTTTTTGAGGCTGTATATCACTATGTAGTTCAGGTTTTGCCTTAAATTTTGTGTATCCCAGTGTGGCCTTAAACTCTTGATTCTCTTTCCTCAGCCTACCAATGGCTAAGAGTATAGAGATGAGCCACAATTAAAAAAATTTTTGTGATCCCAGCATGGTGGCTCACTTTTGTAATTGTAATACTCAGGAGGTTGAGACAGGAAGATTGTTGCAAGTTCAAGTCCAGCCTGGGCTATACAAAGTGAACTCAAGGCTAGCCTGAACTGCTTAATGAAACCCTGTCTCAAGAAGACAGGGTTTTTTTGTTTTGTAGTTCTGAACATCAAACTTATGGCCTCATGCATACTAGGCAGTTACTGTTCTTCTAAGCTGTACCCCCACCCCTGTTTCATTCTCTTCTGAATTCATTTGCAGTGCAGGGATTTGAATCCAGGACCTTACTTATGCTATGCAAGTGTTTTACCTCTGAGCTACATCCCTAGCCCTGTCTCTTTTAAATGTAGTGTGTGTTTTAAGACTGAATACAGAGACTGTCTTGGGAATTGAATTGTCTCTTTCTCCCTTCAGTTCTGTTAGTTTTTGTATTTAAGGCAGTTAGGAATATATACATCTTTAATAATTGTAACATCTTTTTTGTACCAGGCATTTTACCCACGATCTCATGCTTGCTAGGCAGCTGGTATGCCTCAGGCTGAGCTATATCCTCCGCCTTGTAACATTTTAATATATGGCCCTTTTGTCTTTATAAAATGTCTTTTTTTATATATATATGTATGTATTTTTCTGGAAAGGAGAGGGGCTCAGTATTTCTTGGCAGCTGCTTTCCTTATGGTGGCCAGCACATTGCTCAGCTCCTGCATTGGCACAGACATGTGTCCCCATCCATTTCTTGATGAACTTGAGGGCCCACTTGTCTTTGGAGATCTTGAGCAGCTCCTTGGCACGCTGCATATAGGGGGCAAATCCACCCCCTCCCTCATGCTGCTTCCATTGTGTCCCACATGAACTGGGTGTGCTTGGGGAGGCACATGTGTCAGTGGCTGTGCCTCGGTTTGCTCACATTTTTTGTTACCTTGTGGCCCTTGTTGAAACCCACGGCCATGGAGTAGCACAGAATCATGGCTGCTGCTCTTTATTGTTTGCTGCAGTGGAAGGCCTTTTTGTTTGTTTGGTTGTTTGTTTTTAGACATAGCAAAGTTTTATTAAAGGTAAGAAAAGAAACAGACTCTCCAGCATGAAATTGGGCCAAGCAAAAGTAAGAAGAGATACACATACCCTACAGCATAAGGTTGGGCTGCCATGCAAGAGA